GGGGGGGGGGGTTCTCTCCGTCTCATACCTTGCTGCATATGCCCCGGCTTTGTGTATAAAGCCTATGTGCCCAAAACTGGGTACCCTGGCATGAAGTGGTTAAAGATCTCCTCATGGATGGCTCACACAAAAACAAAAGCAACCCGGTGACGTCAGATCAAAGATTCACACAGCGACTTTGAAAAGGTTGATCACATTGAAACTCCAGCGAATTTGCCGCAATGGCTTCATGACATCATATTCGCTTTGCTTTCATATTTGCTCTAAGTATGACCCAGCCTTCATTCTCAGCTCTGATAACATGCACTTATCAAATGGTCATTTCTGGTCATTAAGAAATGCTTACAAGTATCCCCAGAAACCACGGCGCCATTTTGAATTACTGCAGCACACATTCCTCACATTCATACACAGAAAACTTCACAGATGTGACAGGTGCAGACATTTTAAAGTTACACGGTGTATTCGTGGAATACAATTGAAACAAGATTAATGAATTGTGATGGACGATGTGCTCTAAAAGCAACGTAAGCTTAACATTTCCACGGAGAGTTACTAATTTTAAACTCCACCGTGAAAAATGCTTCAACTTCAGGTATTTTTCATATTTATTTTTCATGTGACTAGACTGGGTAGAAAACACTGCAAGAACATCTCCACAAGTGCAGATATGACAACAGTGTCTGCTGTGCTGCTTGAGAGTAAACTATCGTATCACAGATGCCACATTTTGGAAACTCTGTGGCTTTGAGCTGAAAGATACAGCGGGATGTCTAAAGTAATTTGCAAACTTACACAATGATATTGTTGATTGGAATGTGTATTAGCTTGACAAAGAACCCGATAAAGCCCATGATGCAGAAACCAATGGCTGTCGCGATGGCAATCTTCTGGAATTCTACAAAATACAAAGAATTTTAAACAAAGAATGCACTTTAATTTAATAAAATTAAAATCTACATTGAGGAATGCTCAGTGTGATAACAGAGTCTAAGTATAAAAATTACACAAAATATTTTTAAATGTAGCTCTTCTAATGCCAAATCGTAAAAAAATATAAAAATAGATTTTCATGGCACATAATGAAATATAATGAAAATGCTGGCATTGCTATGCTAGTGCATGAACCACTGAAGGGTTGGAGCTACAAATCTGATTACCCAAGGTATCTTGCTGCCCACCTTTTCTGTCCGGCTTGGTACATCTTTTGACCAGCCTGACGGAGTCCTTGGCAAACTGTCTGGCGGGGTCCACCAACTGCTGAATTTGATCCATGGCTGCTGTTCTGTTTGATGTGGCCAATCTAAACATAACAGTATCACACCAAGAACAATTTATTACTACATGTATCTTAGGCCCGTGAGTTCCCAGGTAGTAGAAATGCACTGGCCACCAACATGACAAAATAATAATTAATGTTCATTGAGAAAAAGGTTCTTTTCACATCGGGCAAAGATGGGACTTTAATCAGCGGTGCATCAACCCCGATGACTGTTTTCAGTACATGTAATGTGTTAGCTAATGAAATTTTCTGTCTACGTGATGTAATGGAATAGGAGCCGCGCTGAAGTTGGTCATGGTCATCGACACGCAGTTTGACCAATTAAAATTCATATTTCATTCGAGATCAAAAGGAAACCAAAAGAAAGAGATGGAAGCCACGTTGTCATTGGTAAAGCTGCCATACTGACATAATGACCTTTCAACTGACATGACTGGGTGACCAGCTGCTGTCAGTGTTCCGTGGTGAGGGTAAGGAAAATTCTTGTAAATTTTCACTATTTTAATGGGCTGTAATGTAAACGACCCCCACCACCGATATGAAAACGTATCCTGGAAAATCTCGGGAAATCTTACGGGGTAAACAGCAGTAACAGCAGAGAAATTCCAGCTCAATTGCGGAATACCCGGCCACCCCCTTACTTTTTTCTTTCTTACAATTTAGGCTATGCATATTTTTAATTTTACATTTTCTTCATATTTGTCTGAAATTCCTGAAGAGGCTATAATTAATGGAAAGAGTTACATACATGTATATGGACAACATTAATTTTCCCTTAACATATTATAACAGACATTACAAAGTGAAAACATCCTAAAATTGAAATATAGCTGAGAAAATTCTGAAGCATTTACTTAGAAAACTGGTTCTTTTTTCAGAAAAGTCTTGTAAGTTTGTGCACAGAGGCATGAAGTGTTGTTCGTAAATGGAACTCCTTCCAAATGAACTAGTACTAGGTATGCCAAAATTGTGAAGTCCACGAGGTTTGTAGAGTGAGTTGGCACTTTTCCCTCCTGATCTGAGCATACACGTAGTTCTTGAAATAATGCACATCGCACGTGTACATCATGTACATGTACACTGCTTGACAGGCATTTGGATTCTCCGGGCGCAGACTGGGTGTTATGTTGCCTGCCCGTCACGTCTACGGTCCATTTCTTGTCTTATCAAAGGCTCTATCTGAGTCAGAACCTCTTTGGACAATTTGTACATGTGTTGCACTGATATTACAATGACTTTATGTCCAAAAATAATTTGAAAGTCCATACAAAACGATGCAAAACCACGCGAGAATGCGTGACACAAGAACTTTGCATGCCCCACACTGGTTGTCACAAAGCCCTCTGTCAACGAAAGCAAAATGCTACTACTAACCTTACTTCAAGCTGCAAAGTTACAATAAAATGTATGCTACTATGAGTTATAGTGGAGCTTGTTTGCCAATAGTTCTGCTCACATAGGAATGGCTGCAACGAGTCCCACTGACACACATATGAATATTGATATTTCACTGGCAGCCAATCACAGCACAATGACTGCATGGTAAGATCTGTATACACTGTACGCACACACGTATGGGGCATACACGTGCAAGCACATTTACATGTACATGTACGTGCACCATTACAGCGTTCGAGTACTGTGGCATGTCGGTCGATAGGAAATGAAAAGAAAAAACAAAAAGGAAAAATCAGCACTTGCGAAAGGAAGAAAAATAAGGAAATCTGGCCCGTCAATTGCTAAAAAGTGGAAAGTTAAACTTGTTTTCTCTGAGTTGCCAACAAAAATTTTAGGGTTTCGCTGAAAAACTAAGGTCAGGTAGTTTTGGCCTTTGCAAGTACGATTCTCCTACTGTTATTTGGTTACTCAAACGTTGATGTTTTTATTTGTTGCAAGCCTTATGCCTCTGTTACTAAAGAACAGAATGAACGATAATCGGTGGGGTGAAGTGGAAATTGGGGAAGTGGAAATTGGGCGAAGTAGGGATGGAGCAAATGGAAATGAGAAGTGACCGACACCCCGCCATGCCGCCTAGGAGCTAGCCCCACTAGTGTGGGACGGACTCTCACTCCCGATCCATCCTTAGCCACACATCCGTATGCGCAATTTCGTGTCGGCAAAATGAACATTTTTGGCGCACCAACTTATAATCGTGGGCGCAATTTCTTTTGCACACTAACATGATTCTTGACCTTTCCGTTTTCTAAATACCATTTATTGAATGATTTCACTCACGTTATTCAGGTATTTTGCAGTCTTTTTTCCTTCATCCATTTAATCTAACGGGGCCACTCTCACAGTCGCCATCTTTAAAATAAGGTCGTTGAGCATTACGTCACTTGACCCCTCATCGTCTAAACGGCTGTTCCATGTTAAGACATGTAATAAACGGACTGAGCGATAAGATACTACATGTACCAATGGACTCTTCCAAAACTTGGGCAGCAGTTCAGATGTCTTGACATGGAACAGCCGTTTAGACGATGAGGGGTCAAGTGACGTAATGCTCAACGACCTTATTTTAAAGATGGCGACTGGGAGAGGGGGCCCGTTAGATTAAATGGATGGAGGAAAAAAGACTGCAAAATACCTGAATAACGTGAGTGAAATCATTCAATAAATGGTATTTAGAAAACGGAAAGGTCAAGAATCATGTTAGTGTGCAAAAGAAATTGCGCCCACGATTATAAGTTGGTGCGCCAAAAATGTTCATTTCGCCGACACGAAATTGCGCATACGGATGTGTGGCTAAGGATGGATCGGGAGTGAGAGTCCGTGCCACACTAGTGGGGCTACCTAGGAGCCTACACTGACCACAGTCACGCACTTACGTTACAAGCATGACATGTAGGCTATGCCAGCTGTGCGAAGACTGGGAAATTAGGCAAATTCTTTCAAACAAACACAAACAATTCTAACGAGTTCCACAGTTTAGGTACCTTTGTCTGGTATCCTCCTTATAGAGTTGCTATTACACACAAATTAAGCATGAAATTTGAAAACTAGGACATTTCATAGATATTATTTGATACTAACCTCCTCAGGTCAACAAGTTACACAGGGCAGAGAACATCGATGACGTTGCACTGAAGTGCGCCTCCAATCGGTCAAAAATTTCGAGTCATGTTTCCCTGGTACACGCCCGAAACATAAACGCGGATGACATCAATGGGTTTTGGATACCAGTTTTCAAAAACCGATCATATCCGGCCGGCCAGGAGTGCGGTGTGTGCATAGAATAATTCAAAAAGAATTAGGATTGACAATTTGTAGCTAGTATCTTTTGAGAAAGGAGATTGTCTGGCCGCCAAAATGATGAGATTGTGTACAATAAATCGCTGCCAGATCAACTCTCTGGTATTTGGGCTTTCATCTGAGAGCAGAATGGCAAAAAAGTACAGTTGAAAAATGGTCCTAAGTGCCCGAGAAAGTCGAGAGTTTCCACTTAAAAAATGGGCGAAAATAGACTTCAGGAAAAATCATGTTTTGGAAGGTGATTTTGTTTTGTGGGAATAATTAAAAATGTCGCAGGTTAACTCACAAAAAATTGGAATGGAAAGATTAGGGACCAGACTATAATTTAATTTGTGTTTCAGAAACCTCGGGGATGTTGGTAGGTATGTTATTGGGCCCAGAACACTAGTGCCGATTTTCAATGCAATGTTTTCAATGGGGCTTGAATTAGTGGACTGGATCCAGAAGGCGCTAAAGAGGAGGAAAGGTTATTAAATGTATTCTCATTTGAGAAATCCTCCAAGGCCACGACTATAGCCTTTATTCAAGTTGGTGTTTAAGAGTGTTCAAAACATTTCGCAGTCCGCGCCTGATGATTGATGGTGTCTGGAGTAAAAACGGCTGCTCTTAATTCTCACTAGCCAGGAACAGACACTGGACGCCTTCTGGCTATGAAAAGTGGATTCCTAAGACGTATCAGAGGAAGATCTCATTAAGAAAGAATATCAGAAATTTACACAAATGAAATACCATTTTGACTGGCTAAACGGGCTAGGACATGATGGTTGTTGAGCCCATAGTGCCCTTTTTCTTGGAGTAATTATTAAGCAAACGATAAAGCAGACCAGGGGAGGGGTTTACAGATGGGGTCAAGTTTGGGTGAAGATAAAATGAGACGACAGGCAGTGTTCAAATGTTACTTAATGTAATAATGTATTTTCAATTCTGTAAATACCACATTGAGTCTAGGATGAAAATAAATTCCCTGCATTTCAAGTTAATCCAAGTACAAAAATGAATCCTCCAAAAAGAAAAAAAAAGTTCAACACATCAAGGTGTATCCAGTATAACAAAACCAAACAGAATGGGTGAGGAAAACAGGTGTTAACATCACACTTGAGAAGGTTGGCATGTTTTGAGACCAAACTTGAGGCATGCACACCCCCTAAATGTGAAAACTGTTCACAATTTATTGAAATAACGCAAGGTTTGCTGGTAGATGTCTTGGAAATAATTCAGCAAAAGCGACTGGACCACAGCAACTAAATATGTGGAACATTCTTTCCTGTCATCCCCGAATAATTTCTGTTATGCAGTTTCAATGCATCAACTCTCCACATGTCACATACTGCCTGCCAATTTCTTCATGGCTTCTTCCTCATGGGCCAACCCTGGGGACAGAGCCAATTGAAGAACAGAAGTCAGAAAGTGATTGTCTCCTCTTACTTTGATATGGCAACAAAACCAAACCCTGTTGTTTGATCAACCTTTTGGGGGCTTTTTTTGGGGGGGGTGCAAAAAGTTCGGCAGTTCAATTGCTTCTTTGAAGCTCATGCCTTCTAGCTAAACTTCAAGATTGTCAGACACAACTGTCATGGGCGAAAGAACCACATAACCAACTAAAAAACAAACAACAAATCATAACAGAAAACAAACAGTATCCCTCCAACATCAAGGGGCCACGGGTAAGCAAGGGTGAAAAAAGGAAACAACATGACGGTTATTCTGACTTCAGATTACGAGCAGAATTTACAGTGACAACCTCAGAGGGGTTGTGACATGGTAGGAGCTAGCAAACTTGTCAAAAGGAGCAAATAAAAACAGCAATACTAAAAAAGAGCGACAATTTGTGTTGCACACAAAATACAGTTGAACAAATGCTGGACACATCTACATGCATGTATGACTTTGCAAAATGGGCCTTCTCATGTTGACAGGGGATGGATCAATGTGTCTTCACTGTGACAATTTCCTTTTTTGTTCAAATGTGCAGGAGAACAATCCTTATTGCTACCAAAGTTGATGCATTACAATATACATATATATTTTTCATATAAAACGTAATTACACAAAATACATTTTTCTCCTGAACGAACCAATCATATGGTTCCCTAATTCCAATACACTGGTTTTTCCCCCCCAAATATAACAAAAATACTATCAATTCTTATGTAAATTCCCTCCAACATGTTGCATCAGTGCAGAAGATATAAGATGAACAATTTAAAACAGTTTGTACAGCTTTTTTGTTGTCTGTTAATAAATGTATACATTTCATTGCATTTTAGACAATCTTGCAGCAAAAATAGTATATGTGATATAAAAAAGCGCCATGTTGGAGGCATGTAAGCTCTCAGTTCGACGGACAAAGTGAACTATGTTCATTGCTACCTGCTAAGGTATAACAGCATACCTTCTGGTAAGTCTGGGGCTCAAGTGTCAAAGAATTAATCAGGCAATGTTCATCTGAAACAGACCAATAAAAGCCCCCACAATTACCACACAACTGTTCAAGTTTTTAAATACGTGAACATGCAACCTTTTTTTTGGCAACTAGACTCTATCGGGTTAAGTTCAGTTCAGAAAGTGACGATTTCTTGAGGGTGGACAGGAGGGACCGTAAATTCAATCAAATTCATCTCAAACTTGCTCAACTGTAACAGTAAGGGCTTAAAATTCGGACAGAAATTGTTGACTACCATTACATTTTTCAGCCAGCAGATTCTTCCAAAATCTGTGAAATACTTTTTTAAAAAACTTTCTTCAGTTTACTAATGAATACAATTTGACAAACAATGCGTTGCACAGGAATACCGAAATACAGAAGAGACTAAAAAAACCCCACACAGTCGACAGAACCTTTTCAAAACTCAACATACCTACAATATATTTGAAAAAAAAATACACAACTGAACATTGGATTTTAGGAGCTGGAAGATTTTATACCCAATGTGGAAATTACATGTGTAAGCAGTCACCAATGCCAACCCCCTTCCAAGTGAAGCACGTGTATAAGGCAAGAGACAAATTTAAATTTAGTAGAAATAACATCTCAACAAATTCAATAACATTGGCAAACTAAAAATATGAAGGTTAAAGGTCGCACACTGCACTCCTATCAGTAATGGGGACAATCTGTGAAGTAGAGAAGGTGCTCTTTACTTTACTACGATGAGAGAGGAGTAGAACCGTGCAGCGTACATATTTACCCGGAATCAGCTGAAAATGACTCACTAAGCATGATGGAAATGCATGTACATAATTTCCCAGCGCACGTCTCACTTCAGCTGCTGCAAGGTTATTCAGACACTAAATACTTATGAAATCACTGGGCATGGGCAGAGCTGTTTTTATAGGGAGCGTTATGACATGGGTGTCACAACTGTTCCAACCAAAATGGTGGATTAGGTGTCAGTGCAAGCTGAAAGCTGTACTCAACACATAATGAACAGCCGTTCTGGTTCCAAAGTCCGAAGGTGGCGCTACTCTCACGGTAAAGGGCTATGGGCATGGGTGTACGACTACCACGTCCATGCCAAAATGGCGACTTCTGTTTTTTTTTCAGCCAAACAGCTTATGATTTCAAACCAATGTACATGTACAGAATGTGATCATTGTGAAGACATGGGGCCAAGTAAACAGAAATATCATTGCTTTTTAATGACAGCTGGACAGGCAAGTTATGTGAAAGAAACTTTTACCAACACTTGTCAGCATACATACATTCCTTTCTGGTTGTATTCACCTTGAGAAAAAAAAGGAGAAACCTTTACACACGCAAGCAGAAAAGACCTATAAACAAATAATACAAAAACATTGGCTTAATTTGAACATAAACAAGAGAGACAACAAACATGTTTATGAAACACTAGTTGATGAATCTGACTCTAAAAAGTAAAACATTTCCAACAAAGCAGACATCAAATTTGGTGAGGCCTCCGCAATGTACATGTGTACCCATATCAATGTCCAAATAAGCTCAAGTTTAGACTCACTAAATACTTAAGATCTGTTCTTCTTTCCTTTTTTTGAAGAATTCAATAGCTGCTCTTGGATGAGTTACACAGGCAACAAACGCATGTATGTGTCCAACTGAGAGATAAGCCAGTGGATTTTCTGCACATACATTTCTTGTAACAGAAGATACAGAATCAAGATACAAATCCAAGCCAAATCTGATTGGATCTAAGAATGAAAAGGACCAAAGCAGCTTGTTTGAGAGATTGGCAAACTCAGAATTATAACCCGGGTGCCATTTTCCAGAAACTTTTATTGTAGCACAATATCGATTTCCTAGTCTTTTTTTTGCTCACAGAATTATTTCTACAGTTGCAATCCGAGTATGCATTTTGGTTTGTTCTGCATACACTCTTTCAGATATGGCTTCTTCGGTTTTGTTTCCTATGGTCTGGCTTTTCTCAGATCTAGTCAGAAGTGTTTTTAAGAGAATCCGTTAACATCAGTTGATGCAGTTTACGACCAACAAGAAGTGGTGTGGGTCAGCGCTGTATATCACGTGACTGTACTCGCTTTCGTTGTGAAGTTTGATGCCACTGAGCTGGTGGCCACACTTTCAGTGCTGCTTTCGTGGGTGTGTGCTAAACTTGTAACATAACTGAGGTGATTCTGACCGGCAGAATTGATGGTGGCCGAGTTGTTTGTGTTGAAGGCAGTCCCTAGTGTTTTGGGCAGGGCCAGATCAGTGGCAATTGTTGGGAAGCTAAGCTTCTGGGTGAAATTCATCTGCGGGTAGAGGGTAGGGGCATGGTTCGGGGTGTGGCTCGGGGTGTGGCTCGGGGTGGAGTCTGGACTGTGCTGATTCATCACACCCAGCAGGCTGCTGTTGCCCAACAGGTGTGCTGTAGGGGAGGGCGCCACGCTCCAGGTCTGTCGGAAGCTTGGGAGTGACATCTGCTGGTTGTTGCTGGAGGTCAGCGAGATGGCCGGGCTGTGCATGGGGCTGGGCTGCCCGGCCAATGTTCTGGGCTGCTGCAGCATGGCACTGCTGATCTGTGCACCGTGGGGTGTCAGCACATGATGAGGTGACATAGGGTTGCCGTGGGGTGACTGCGGCGAGTTGGCTATCTGCCGCTGCAGGTTCAACATTGCACTATTCATCTGGACTATTCCATTGCCCATGAGGACGGGGTTGGGCATTCTCAACGGCTCCAACTGCTGGCCGTGCAACTGCCCCACTGGCAAGGCATTCTGATTCTGACCTATGAGGTCTCCAACTCCGCCAAAATGACCCCCGCTGTCATGGAAACCAGCCTGTCCTGACATGTTGGTCATCACATGCAGCGGGCCAGCTGCTTGAGTCACCACCATATTACTCGTCGACACGCTGTTGGCAAGGTCTACTGGGTGGTGCATAGAGGCTCCCATGGCGTCCACCGAATTCTGGCGCATGGTGTCCTGCAGTAACCGGTTTGCAGCTGACTGGAGGTCTTGCGGCAGCCCGTCCATCCCATCCTGGTCGCCCGAGTCGCCGCCGTTGTCCTGATCGTCAAACATGGCATTGCTGGTGGGTAAATGCCGGTCCATAGAATGCTTGGACAGCTGGTCCAAGGATTCCTGCACTGAGTTGACTGTATTTGAGACCTCCAGGATTGCCCGTTCTAGTTCCTCCTGCTCCTCCTTGGTGGGCATTGGTATGGGCATGTAATCACCATCTCCATTCTTACCAGCTGCAGATACAAACAATCAACGATTCTGGATTCATTTTGTAGCCCATGGCAATGTGTTCAAATGGAGTTCCCACGTGTAAACGTATTCTTTGAACTGTCATAGGGCCGTAAGCAAAACACTTAAAATCAAATGCAGAATGGCAAAAACTAACCTCATTAAAAATTTCAGTTCAATTTACTTTCCGGAAAGCAGAGAAAACCCATGTGCCCAGTGTTTTCAAGTCTACAAATTCAAGCCAATGGGATCTTCAGGCTTATCTTCGGTAAACTGTCAGCAAAATTCATATCCCCAAAATAAGACTGACAAAGAAACAAACATACAGTAGTATGGGCGATGGCAAATGTCAACTTCTCACCTTCTTCATGCTCTTTGACGAACTTTGTGAACTCCTCCGACTCAAACAGAGCCAGATCGGGGATATCCATTGGTAACTTGGGCAAGATCTCCGATAGGTCACTGCCGCCGGCCTCCGAGTTCAGGTCCGAGTTGTCAGCATCCGAGGTCATTCGCAGGTCCGAGGTGTCAATGCCCAGGTCAAGGTTCATGTCGCCGGGGTCAATGTCTTCTGGAAGGCTCGGGCGTGACATGACGATGTTGAACGATGGTGGCAAGCCGCTGTTTGACTGGGGAACTGGTAATTTGTTTGCGTGGCAAAAAAAAGCCATGATCAGATTGCCATTTTTTCCCGTTAACCCTAACACTCCTCAATACTTCACCTGTTGGAGGACTGAGGAGTGTTAGGGTTAAAGTTAAAGGGTTGGCCACCAGTAGGCACAAGAAGCCACAAGTAATTACACGCATGTATAGCATTGTCCATACTGTGACAATGTAGGAATTGACAACAGCAGGCAAGTTCAAGCGACAAATATCTGTTGACCACTTATCAACTTTCCCCAGTAGCCTGCCTGCAAAAGATAATCCTAGATACCAAACAACATCTGCCAGTGGTAACAAGTGATCATTGCTCAAACTTGCCTGGTGTTAACTCTGTCCCCTAGGGTATGTGAAGATTTTATTGAAATTGGACGAATCAGGACTGATAAGATTAAGTGTTGGGTTGTAACAGTGACTATCGACAAGTGTGACCTTTGGCATCTGCTACTGAGACCACTTCCTTCTATTCCCCCTTCCATTTTGAAAAAACAAAAACAAAAAACAACAACAACATCCTTTGGATTTTGGTACTGGAGTGTGGTGCCCTACTTACCTGCTGGAGGTATTGGCTTCTGAGGTCGCACGTTGCGACGAATCTTCTTCTTCTTGTTGGGTCTTGTCAGCGCAGAAGGTTTTGTCTTCTTTCGAGGCTTCTTCTGCTTCGGCTGCAGTCGCTGCAAAGGTCAGGAAGACGGTGGGGTTAAAGTTCAAAAGACCTCACAGCAAAAACAAACTTTTACCATGTCAGTAACCCTTCAAGTAAATCTGGGAATCAAGGGAAGCAATAAGATAGGTGCAACTCCGCAAAAAGAATACAACAGTGCGCTTCAGTGCCAGTGAAACTATTAGTACTGTAGTACAATTACTTGGCCACTGCGGTCAAATTCTATGGGCTCTGGGGAAAAAAAAAAGTTGAGATCAACTCGAGAAGTGCAGAGGACTGGTGGTGAGGAACACTGATTGGCAATCTTATGGCTGAAGCAATTTTGTGGTGTGGATTCAAGAACATGCTTGGACTCGGCACATTATCCCTCGGGTCAAGTGAACACTATCACTTGCCTTTCTCCCCGTCTCTCCAGCATCACATGAGCATAATGGGAGTGGGGTTTGTGATCACTGTGCGCATGGACGATTACAGAGGGACGTTGCCAGAGGCATCCACTATGTGCTATGTGTGTTCCCCCGGGGAGCCCAGATGGATCCAATATTAAATTAGCCCATCGATTAGGAGTAATGGCATCATGTGCAGTGCTTTGGTACACCGATGAAAGCACTATGTAATTTACTGATTTGATTACCGCATGCTGCAGAGCAGGAGCAGGTTCCTTAAGCAAGGTCAAGCCCAAAATAGGCTTCCAGAGCTACAGCTAGGTCTACTGTCAGTGCCCCTCAATGTATTACCAATGGAGAGAAGACCTAGACCTAGCTCTAAACAACAGATTCAGATGTGGCTCAAGAACAGGTCACCAGCCTGAATGTCATAGCCTCAAGACTGTGCTCTATTTCCGATCAGAGAATGCTAAATCAAGAACTAGTCATTACTTCAACTACTTTCATTTCCCTGTTCATTATATGTAGACATTTTTCTTCAGAAAATCTACACAGAATGTGGTAAGAAGAGCATGCCTTATTTGTTTCACAAGGCCTCTGGCATCCCATGCTCTCTTATCAGAGCCTGTATCATGCGCATTACACATATTTTGCATCAGTGAAATAATGCCAACCTACAGCCAAGATGCTCACTTTTAAGCTAAATCGTATACTTCCAATGTCAAAACATTGACAAGGCCATTAAGCAGTCAGTGCCTGGCAGAAGTAGGTTTACCAGAAAGGGAAGAAAGCATGTGTGGGCTTTGATAAGAACCAGTCCATGACCTGATGTGGCTCCTTCCTACTTGGAGTGAATTTGGCACCCTCAAAAAAGAAAAGATTTCCCTAGGCTCCCCCAACAAAGCTCACCATTCTCTTGCTGTGTTCAAGACACAAGGGGTTGTCGTTCTGCATGTCGAAGGCAGGCTCTATGCAGCGGAAGCCCCCTGGAAACTCCGCTGAACACTGGTGGAATAACTCCTGGTGCTCATCCTCCAGTATGTCTGAGAGACGGTGCAGTTAAGGAAAAGGCCAAAAAAAAAAAACCCCAAGTCTGGTGGAAACAAGACTAACAGGAGGTCACACCCTGTGACACAAAAATCTTTTTTTGTGTGGATTTGTGTGAGTTTGAAAAGAACCTCGAACAAAAAACCCTTATGCTCTGGACAGTAGGCTGTCTGTCATCAAGGGACTAGTGCTAAGAACTTAAATGATCTTCTTACATATAATCCTGTAATTAATCATTCTTTCTTCAGTGTTAACGTGCAGCACACAAGAAAACAATTCCACTTTGAAGACTCACTTACAAGCCTATCTCACTCCGATTCACAAATCCCTCATCATAGAATGATAACGAGAGGTAAAACCCCAATCCTAAAAGCAAAGCTCTGCTGGTGCACTACATCATGCAGTGCTTCTACTGGCTATCATCTGGATAAGGATACGTCTATAGCAGTGTCTCGAGTACGGCATGGCCTCCTCCTGACATGCCTCCCCGCCCTCCTCTTTGCTGATGCAGGTCCTGTCTGGTGGGAGCTCTACCTTGGGTCTGGTAGAAGACAAAATAGATACAAACTGAGTATGCAATGCAGGCTCTCGGTAACAAGACACAAACACCGTTGTAGTCTAGTCCATCGCACGTCCTCTCACAAGTCCAGTCACGAGTAATATGGTGAACAAATGCTTTTGGCTTAAGATTGGATGACTGGTGAAGGACTTGCAATGGGCTTGACTATAAAACAGCAAGCGCGAAGGCCAATGGCGGTCTATTGAAGTAAGAGCACACCAGCTTGAAAATTCCTCAGTACTTTCTAGGGGCTGTTCAGTTAAGAAATTTGTCAAGCCTCTTCAGAAACGAGCAGCAAGGTACAGTGTTAATGCAATGCATACCACTTGTGGCTTTGCTCAGTGCATAAATTTGATAAGCGTTCTACTTGCTTAGGATGGCAATGAAACTGGGCCTGTGTCCACATTCACAGAGCTAAGCACAAATCAGTGCTGAAACAATTATGCTAAGACAGGCAGTACCACCCAAAGGGTAAGAATTACTAGCCCCAGGAACATGTTTCGTGAAGTTTGATTTGTCATAAAATGCCCTCTGTTGGAACAGGATGCCCACCGGAACCAATAGATTTATTCGGTCAGTGGTTAGAGCACTTAGACCTTTTCTTAGACCTGAATGAATATTGATTTTTGTGAAATATAAAAAAAATTGGGATGGCATCACTGCCCATAACTTTGGTACGCTGATGGCATTAATGCCCTCATGTTTGGCATTAGTGCCCTTTATTTCAGCCAGTCCACCAATGCCCTAAATAAAATGAAATTCGAGGCCTGCTACAAGTGACTTCTTCCTGCAATATCGCTTCGCCAAGTCTCCATCCCTGTTTGTTTAGGGTGTCCATCAATCCCTAACTGTCTGACTGGTCGGCACCCACCTTGTCAGTGGCTGCCTGCGCAGTCCCAGCAGGGACACTGCAGTGCCAAAGGAGTGCTCCCTGGCCGCCTTGATGAGGGCCAGGCACAGCCTCTTGGCCCTGAGCCGCTGGTTGCGCTGGCCGCGGTCTGACTGCACTAGACAGGCACACTGGCTCCTCAAGCGGGCACTTAGCTCGTTCAGACGCTCCTGCCTGGTGGGTCTGTCTGGGGAATTACTGCAATGCAAATCGAACCAAGATATCCATTAAAAAACACTCACATCTGACAAAGTTTCAGTGAGAACAATAAACATTAATACTTCGGTTGTAGATAAATAGATTTGACATCTCTTCTTAAGAGGTCCTTTGCGAGTGCTTTACCCTGAACATGTTTTGCCTTCTTTGAATTACAGCACTCAAAACAAATAATATCTAAGTAACATGCTAAGTACCGTATATTTTAAAATTCCACATATAAGGCATTTATTTGTTCTATTAACATGTGTCTCTGTGGTCAAGATCAAAAGGAACACAAATTCCTTCTCGTTTCTTAATTCTGAGCATGGCTAGATCTCTGCTCAGGATGACCTCTGTCTATTACTGTGAAAGATGTAAAATGGTATAAGCAAATATTTAAAGACTCAGATTTAAAGACTCAATTTTAAAGGAAAGGAAAGGCCACAACACACGGGGAATGACACAGCAAGCTCCTTGTATGAGCACAGCAAAACAGGCTTCCACATTTAGTTACGTTACACACCGCTTAATTACACACCGCTTAATATTCAGCTGCCGTTGAATGAATACATGTGCAGTCTGTGTAAAGTTCAAGTTGACTGCTGTAGGTTTCCTGGCCAATTTCAGCAAAAAAGTAATTCAATTTAACACAGGGCCCATATAATTTTGTTTTAAAATGAATGATCCTTCACACAAGCATTTGAAAATTCAAAGCAGGCATTGGATTTTGTCACTGAACATTCTTTCGGGAAATATGTTCATCCAAATTCCAAAGGTCATCTTGTTCATTTACATTCGTCAAAGGGCTCAGAAAGAGGTTGATCAGGCATTCAACTTATTCAATAAGCAATCTTATTTCACTTACAAGTGGGAATTCAAATTTGTTCCAGAAATAAAGGCATTTGGACTCCTATATAAAATCTGATTTCCAAGGAAAAAAAGGTTTATAACGGTGGACTGTGGGACAGCTTTTTGTCAAAGTGACTTCATTAAAAAATTAAAATTGTGGAGGCTGGGTTCTTACAGAAAAGTGAACACTGCAGAAAGGGAAAACTGATTAGCGCTTTCCTGGGCAGCAATGCAGAGAAAGGCCTGTAAACAAGTTTTTTCTTTTGTCTCTTTGCATGTTATAAGGTTTGCCCTAAATTATTTTCCCTGAGCTTTTGTTAACTTATACTTTTTTTACACACAACAAAGAGCAAACTGAAAACCTTTCTGATTTGACTCAAGAGACAAATGCCCATACAAATAAAAATTAAATGATACAAAGGAATCATTCACAATCATAACAAAAAAAGATTATGGAATAAGAATATCATACACAAAGACTTGCAACAGAAGAATGAAGGAATTAACTTCTCTAATATGCCCGAACTTAACGTTCAGAATGCAAAATAAATTTACTGTCAATGAAAAGGAAAATTACGCGCTGGTAAAACATCCTAAGCCTATATGCCTTGATAAGTTTTAATTTGACTGTACCTATTGAAAAAAGGCGGCAGAGATTACACCGAAGATAGTTCAGCTCTGAATGCCAATCAATGAAGTGGAATGATGGAAATGAAATATAATGGCAAAGCTAGAAAAAAAAAAAGAGTGCACGAAAAACGAATCTGAATGTCGGAATAAGGAAAAAGAAACCCCCAAAACAAACAAACCGTAGCATCTGTGCCAATGTGAAAGCATAAAATGCTAAAAAGGAGTGGATTTTTGCTGAAACTGGCCGAGAAAACCTACACAAAAGCCAGATACCGGTATGTACCTCATACTGATTTCACTACTGCTACAGTCAGGGAATCTCGGCATGTATCTGTGTGGAAAGCATCTGTCCTCTTCATCTTCATCTGATGAGTGTTCTAAACCTGTAAAAGAGAGATAAAACAAACTTTAATGACACCCGAACAAGCATTCTTTTCAAAACATCACTGCCCTATGGTGTATGTAAAATCTTACACGGATGACCCCTTTTTGCTTGATGCAAAGGTACTGAGGGATGTATACTACGGTAACACGAGCAAGAAATCGGATCTGCTATGATTTTTTATTTTCTCATACGTACCAGTTCAAGTACATGCATGTTGTGAGTTTGGCCTCCTAGCTATGTAAACAGGGGGACAGTGTGTCCAACCAATATCAACCTCGACCCGATCCCATGGTTGGGGCCACCCTGTGACAGGAGCAAGCAAGGACAGGAACGGCATCCAAGCCCAAATATTGTAACAGCATTCTTGCCTTTCCAATGCTGGCAGACCACAAGTATGCATGCATGCCATCACTTCATACCCACATGTTTCCATGTGCAAACCAGTCACCCAAGTAGGTGCTGCCATTGCTAGCCTTCCAGTTTGGACAGGAGGAAACTATGAAGTCACATACATTATCATACAAAACATTTTTTTTTCTGGGCAACACATACCTATTTTTTGCTACAAAAAGCAACCAAAAACTAAATTAATATTTATAGCCTCAAATGATTAATTCAATTCAAGTGGATCTTTCCAAGCGATTTGACTGTCATAATGGCAGAATTGACTTTTTGCCATGTCACTAATTTCATGGGAAGTAATTTGGTTGATTGGTTTCAGACAAAGTATGGATTTCCAATTTTACCGCAAATTTGCTGATAACAGCAACAACAGTGGCAGAACTCTCCCACACAAGTGCAGGCATACATGTAGCTGGGAAAGTCAGGTTCTTCATGCATCCCCTACACAAATGTACATGTATGTACCAGTATGTACATACAAGGTACTGCAAATATATATATTTATATAAAAATGAACAAACCATGGATGGCAAGGCATCATTCCCTTTAATCAGTGCAAAAGGAGCAGCAAGCAAATGTATGACTTTCCCACATGTAACTCATGTACATGTTCATAAATTTAAACTGGCACTTACTGAATGTCATGTTGAATTTGAGTTCCTAATCTTAACAACAAGTAGAACTGACCACAAACAGGGATTTTCAACAGAAGCTGCAATTTTGGGTTTACACTCTACTTCAATCACTGCATAGCAGCCATGTTAGCTGATTAAACTGTTGCAGTATACATGTATGTACATGTATATTGTGGGATGCCTGTACATGTTAAACATGTTGTGTATATGTTACACTGTACATATGAAAGTGAAACACCTCTTTGGATCACTAAGTCCTGTGCACATGCACAGGTATACAGTACATACATAGTACTTTTCAAACCCACCCCTTGTCCGAGTGTTTCCAAGCCCACTGCTAGCTGGGCTAAGTGCCCCTGAGTGATGACCTCAATGACCTCCAATCAAATGACCTTTGGGTTTATTCACACACCCAACCAGACAGGGTGAAAAATGTGCACTATCATGAACCACAGTTTAGCATGACCTACTTTCTGTATACATGATACGAGCGGGTTTCACACTTGTTTGGCTGTACCCCTGTAATTTATTCACCAGGGTTGTTATTCATACTTGGGTATAAACTTACCCAGAGAATCGGTTTCACACTTCCAAACTTCACCCAGGATATTTAGCATGCCCACTTTTGTGCAAAGCTGAGTAATTTGTAACCGTGCTCACAATTCAGTCGGGGCAACCCGGAGATAATAATAATAAATAATATGTACACTGTCCATGTGCATGCAATTTAAGTACAGACACATACCCGTGACATGTCATGCGTGCAGCATGAGGTCACAACTTGTGCCTTACAAATAATAATGGCGTTTGTATACAAAAAGACTGGTGTCCTCTATATGAAATACATGTATAAAAACGACAAGATACCAGCCACAGTGGACATCAGCAGCACCAGGCCTGAGGCCATGGAGATGAGGGCAGCGCTGGTTGCGCATGTGCCGTCCTATCTATTTGATGAGAAAATCTGCGTTGACGGAAACCCAGCGAACGTTCATACTTCCGAAGGTAACCCGATGAATTGTCTCAAGGCCACTGTTAACCCCGAGATTGGTGGGTTAACCCACGTTGCGAGTAGGGTTAAAACATAACCAGGTTAATTAGTAGGATTTTGAGGCAGTTAACCTGGAGAATTTCTAACCCCGAGAAGGGCAGTGTGAACACTTAGAATTACCCAGGTATTCTCAGGGTTATTTTTTTTTTATAACCCCCAGAATACCCCGGTAGAAGCGTAGTGTGAAACCAGTTACAGGTACCTTGTTATGTTTACACGGGTAATTCCAGAAATTATGGGTCCAAAAGGGTGACATTTTTGTGTCCATGTTACATGTACATCTGACCTTTGTTATTTGACATGGAAATATCAAAGGAATTGATTTCAAACTATTACTGTTTGTTTGGTAGGTAATTTGCATTAATTCATCACTCTTGAATTTCCAAAATCATATGTCAAATGTGACAGGGACACACAAAAAAAGGACCCCTAATTTCTGGAATTATCCACAATTTACATCATGTGCATGTACATTTACATTGTACATCACTTGCCTACTAACTGACGAACTTTAATTTGTTAAAAAATACCAAATCAGTTCCACAAGGCCCTCCAAATACTTGTTTTCTATTTTATACCCCCCAAGTTCAGGTTGGTAATTTTATATATTCTTTATTTTTTTGGGGGGGGAGGGGGAATGGTTCTGTTGTCAATAAAACATTCTTTAATAGGGCTCCCGAAATCTCAGGGCGGGGTGATTATGATAGCCAATGTTTCTTTTTTCACACATGTACATGTGACAAAATCAGATTCAATATTCATAAAGAAATAAATATGATGTGCTAGGTCGGTCTTAAACGTTCATTTAAGATAGGATCAGGAGAAAATGGACATTGATAATGCCAATGGTGAAGGCAAGGGACATTTATTATACTATTTTGTCTAACAAATTTTTAAATGACCGCAACGGATAAGAACTGGGACTTTTATATGTTTATTTTTTATACGAGACCATTCCAGCGGTAAACTGTAAGGCGTGCACAAAACAAATAGTGATACATGTACATGAACGTGCGTATTCACTGCAGTCTAACAAGAATATTAACTACAAGTACATATACTGTATTATACGGATACTTTGCCCTTGTGTACATGTATTGCATATATACATGCAATATGTCATATTACCAAAAAAATCTGTTGTACATGTATACTACATGTACATGATGTCCGAAGCAGCTTCCTGGAACTGTTAATACACATGATCAGAGTTGACATTTAAAGGTGTGAGGGAATATAAAAACGGGGAATCCCCTTGAGGCTACTACAGAAAACAGGCACTACATGATGCAGCACAAGTAGCTCACTATCTAATTTTGGCATACACAGTATGCCACCTGTTCACCACATGTTTACTGATACAGTCAACGTTATAAATGAATGTGCATGGTAGGGGATGTTGAAGTCATGAGATGACATTTATTTATGAAAAGGTCACTCGAACGTGTGTGACTGAGTCTGCGAACTGTAAGCAATGCAAAAAAAACTCAAAAAACCAAGTGCCCAGACATACATGTACATGTATGGTAGCGACAGGAACCCCACATGTCCATCCATGTAAACTGGTACCTGAGTACATCTGTGACCAACTGTCCAATTTGGATGCACATGTACATGTCGGCTGCATACATGGACATGCTGGCAATATACATCTACGTGTACACATATTTTTGTACATGTACGGGAGTTGATGTACACACACAAAGTACATGTACAGCACTTGTACATGCATATTGTGTACACTTTACAACATGGAGGAATAAAAATTACATGCACGACATAAACGTACATGTACATGTATTTGTAACGACAAAAATGTTATGTCTAAATGTGAACAAGAACTTTGAAGAACAGCTGTGTTCACATGTACTGGGAACTAGAAAAATAATAATAAATAAAAAGATTTTATAAAATAACAAAGAGGTCTTTTTTAAATTAGGGACCTACACGATCGGTATTGCATTCCATTTGAAATAATTTGGCATACAGGATAAAATGACAATCTGAAATACATGTCAGACAGTTTATGATTAAAAAAAAAGGTTTTGCAACAGGCACATGGACATGTGCATTTTGAAGTGATCATGTAACCAACCAGGGTTTCCCCTGGGATGCTGATAAGTACAAGGTGGTGAAAGACACTTGGGGCAATTGGAAGTATTGCCAACTGTGGCAACATGGCTAAGATACATGTACATGTACATGTATGTACTCCCATGGTACATTGACTACCAATCCATTTCCTGTAAACAAATACCGGTAAATCTTGTATTTGTAAGCCGAACGTTAATTATTCAAACTCATTTTCTTATTTCTCTGTTTGCTCTCTCTTTTTTTTTTGGTGTGAGGTGGCAATACTGGCCCCCAAAAGGCTGAGGTGGTCAGTGGTCACTTACACGTACATGTACATCTCTGAGGTGGACTGCCTGCTTGAGTACGAATTGGGCAGTGGAAATCCTGTCATCAACACTGACAGATAATTCTTGTTTAACACTGAGGCGCATATATACGGTACACCAATAGTAGCATGCAGCACATAATTATTATGTTAGGGAGTAGGCCAAGCATTTGTTCCAACACTTGTTCAATTACACTACATTTGAGTGACATAACAAGCCCATGCAACTAGGACAAGTGCTCTTAAACGTGTCTAACCATCTGTTCTATTTTTAGGGAAAGAGGCAATTATCTTATCAGGTTGTCAGATCTCGGGCGTGAATTTTTGATTGTCCCCTACACATTTTGATGTACAGGTATACTTATTTTGGATTAAACACATGCCATTTGGTTCCAATTTACATGTATATTGTATAATAATGGTACATGTATTTATCACATTTTGTGTGTAATTACAACATGTTGTTTGAATAATCTCACAGGAGCAAGGTTGATGAGGATACTAGGGTTTCATTTTTGTTCTTGTTTGGAATTTCGGTCCTTTTCTAGACACTTAGTTAATTATGCCTTTTTTTCTTGCGTTTTACTGTATCTAATCACACTTCTTACAAATGGTTGTAAATTCTTCCCGCTGAAATAAATAATGAATGAATGAAATTATTGCCCACTTTCCACACTAAGGATAACTCTGGTACATGTACAAACATACATGTACATGTATATGTATACTCATACATGTACATGTATATGTATACACATACATGTACATGTATTCTATACACATACATGAACATGTATATGTATACACATACATGAACATGTATATGTATACACATACATGTACATGTATATGTATACACATACATGTACATGTATTCTATACACATACATGAACATGTATATGTATACACATACATGTACAGCGTATACGCATGCTCTCATGACTTATTTTTGAAAACTGTTGCAGTGAAATCAACACATGGTTATAAACAGTAATTTCACATTCATTAAAGACTCCCCCCTCATTCCCTGAAAAAAAATCACCTTGATCCAGATATTATGATATATGTACACGTACTGGTACAAATGTACATGTATGGTACCAGTATGGTTACATATGCTGGCACTGGAAGAGACTGTGACCCAAGCGGGACATCAAACTAGCAGGTGTACAGTACATGTACGTGCACTTTGGTGACCTACACGTAAGGTAATTCACAAGCACAAAGACGAATTAACCCAATAAGACTGCTTTTTTTTACAATCCTGTTGATGAATGGGTTGGACTGACTGAATCGACTGCTGGATCACACTACTCTAGGCAAAATTTTCACAGATCACAAATTCTAGAATTTGAAGGTAGGAAATTCACGTTTGTTACTGGGACTCCCAGCACAGTTTTTTTGTCTGGAGGTTCTGTCTTGCAAACGTACATGTACATGTATGAAAAACAGCTTACATAAAGAAGCCCTGCTTTTCAAGCTGGAACAAATTTGATACATCTAATTCTCCATTGCTGGCTGAAATCCAGACTGTTGGACAGCACACCGCGACATGTCCATGGAACTTCCCCAGAAGTTTGCTCTACTAGCAAGTCTTAGTCCTGGTCTACTCTGAATGAATATTTGAATTACATTGTAAGAAAAACAGATCTCTTGAACATTTTTATGTAGTACTGACAACTGCACATACATATGGCTACATGTACATAAAAGGTGCGTCAGGATCAACATGATTGCAAATTATTTTGGCACAATCTGACAATTAGGCACTTGCTTTGTGGAATTGGGTTAGTATACAAACTTCAGATTTTTAACTGTGAACTTTGCAGAAATTCAACAACGCAAATAGCACAAGATTTACAAGTATCGTACCGAAGGAGTCTAGTACCGGAGTCTGGATACAGTACGTGCCACTTTAAATGTTTATGTACACTGGTAGTATCAGTGTCCATGTAAAGTATCAGTCTGATACCCTGAACCTATTTAAGCACCATTTTACTGTGTACATGTACATGCGCCTCAAGTCAAATCTTAATTCTTGCTGTGCTACGCCTTACAAAACACCTCGAAGGCTTCAAAGAATACCCAGCTACATGTACGATACATGAAATTGATCCGTATTGATGTTACAAAAACACAAAAAATGTCTACATAACGTTGGTTACTTACCTAATGAAAACAGATCCAAGCGTCTCTCTTCTTCCTTTTGATAAATTTCTCGGAGACTGTCCACAGATTTCAGTCCTAACTTCTTTGTATACAACGTCCTGGGTTTCTTGGTTTGGGCTTGCACAACAGAGGCACTTAGTGGTGGGAGGTTGGTCACTGCAAACGGCAAGTTGGTGGTGTCTGCTTTCGTCTTGGAATGTGCTAAGTGAGGCGGCATGGAGGGTAGATGGTCACTGAAGTCCGTGAACAGCGAGGGCTGGGAAAGACTGGAGGATGGGGTTGCCAGCGACGGGGCAGGTGAGGTAGTGCACTGATCGGGTGACTGTGGTTTGCCAGGCTGCTGCAGCCTGGCCTGCAGTTCCCGGTCCCGTTGCAGTTTTAACCGCGCCTTGTTCTTCTCCAGCTTGTCCCGCATGCGGTCCTGCAGTGTGGACTGCCGGGAGCGGGATCTTTTCTTTGGCTTTTCGGTTGTGCCGCCATCTTCGGGACTATCGCGGGCAGCCACAGGGGGAAGATTCACCGTCTCTGCTACCGGTAGGTGAGGCGAGGACCTCAACAGCAACTCCAGGGAATCGACAGTCAGAGAGTTGTCGTTCACTTCCGTATCAGCCTGGGTCACATCCAACTTCTTCGATCGGTTCTTGTGTTTCTCGTGCTTGCGCTTGTGCTTGTCTTTCTTCTTCTTCTCCTTGGGCACTTTCGGCCTGTTGACACGTTCTCCAATCATGACATTGTGTTCCTCTGTCCTAGTGTCATCATTCTGCTCCATGGGAACATCTCCCGTCTTGCTCTTTTTGGCTTTTTTGGGGACTAGGCCCAAAACCTGCAAGTGGCTGACACAGTATCTGCAACAGAAAACATGCCAAATTGAAGCTTTTTATGCCTCAAATAAATGAACGAATGAAATGAATTGTGTGACCACAGCAGGAGAACACTCACCTGTCAATGACCACACCTGATCATGTGCGTTCAATGTTACGTAAGGTTCCCAGCATACATGCATTTCACACACATGCAGGACATTTGATATTGAAACTGGCACTGTGCTTGAGGGTCAAATACAGTGCAAATGCAGTGATGTCTTTAATACACACTTCCGGAAATCTTGCACAAACATCTGCAGAGTTGGTCGTCACAATGTCTCGTGTGGAACTGTGCAGTGACAACAATTTGTACATGTATGTCCAGGGGCCATTCTTCTGAGGCTCTAATGAAGTAAATCTGATGTCTGCAGAAAACTTTCCCATCACACTTACCTACCCTTTTGATAATTGTCAGTAGAAAGACTGTAAGATGTAACGTGGGAAAAGTGCAAAGTCATGCTACTTTATTTTTCCAATGTGTCACCTTAGTCTACGACAGTGAAGTTGTGACAATGTCCTGACTCAGTGTCACTGAATGCATCATGAGAGCAAGGCACTGCCAAGTAAAATAACTTTAGTGCAATATAAATCAATGTGCTGTGTACATAGCCGCCATTCAAATTTTTGTTTTTCTTTTTTCCAAATTTTTTTGACCACCCACCCAAACCCATTTTTGATCAACAAACGAGTGATTTTATCATCTAGTATTAAAACTCCCGGTCATTGCATTGCATGCATGTACTGTACATGTACACGTATCTTGGCACATGGGAAGTAAATTTATACATGAATGTGTCTCTGCACATGCGTGTCCAGTTCGTACATGTTGTACCTGATTGCATACCACAGTTCAGGCTAGTCAAAGTTTTTTGTTGTTGTTTGTTTGTTTAAATCAAAAATGATCTTTTTTCAATCTTTCAACAATATTGATCTTGCAAGAATCTGTTCGACTTGAAACTACCACTGTAAAACCACTGCAAAACCATGGGCCCTACTCTAACCCTAACCCTCCTAAATCATTTAAAACTCACCAGGACAATTGAAAGTATTTCATACGATTGAGGGAGGTACATGTACATCCTTGTGAATATTACTTTACATGAGGCTCAGCACTCTTGAAAAAAGGAGGTACAAAGAATTTGTACTGCTTCCTGTAAAGTGGAAGAAACGTCAGCGAGGTTCCTGACAAAATTCCCCCAACTTAGGCTGGTGTGTACATGTATGTGTAATGTCTCTTACTTTGGTCATTTCATCCAATGAAACTAGGTACAGCGAGACTAAACTTTTACCTTGGAAGCAATTATGGCACAGAGTGCTCAATTCTGTCTATTCACAGTGGTCCAATTATGCAGCTGATTCAAAATGGACTTCAAGGAAATTATCACTGTAGATACAGTACAACATCTAAAAGTTTAAACAAAACACATCACAACTTACAACGGAATTAAGTCCCTGTTTTCAGCTCTACCTACAAACTGTGACAATGCCCCCAGTTTTGTCATCACTCTTAACACCCTACGCTTTTTTCTCGGGCCCTTCTCCTGTATCATCCAAAAAATCGCACGTGCAGTCCCACATGTTGCTGCTAGAATGCAGCTCCTTCGATCCTGCAAAATTCTTGCAAACTCTGGATAAGGAATAAGTGGTCAGTTACGGGTGGGTCATAATTCTTGCACTCACGGGCCATTTGAGGGGAACCCTACATTATGGAATACGTACTTGCTGTCTCCCCCTCGCTTTATCGGGTTCGTGCAAGGCAGTCCGTTATACCGGTTGACAAATTCACACTGGTAGTAGGGGGCCGACTTATCCTCCAGAATGTGACGGATGCAGAATGCGTAGCCATTGAGACGGCGCTGTTTGCAGACTTTGGTACTGCAAGAGCACAGTGGTTTCTGGTCTTCTGAGAAGTGGATGTGCTTGCCTTCGTACATTACTTTCTAGTCAACATTGGCTGTAAAATGAGCATGAAACTGAATTACAGAGAGTTACATGTAGTACATGATAGCGGTGACAACCTCCGTCAATACTGCATTGCAGGGCTTCATTTGTACATGTACAATACTGACTATACTGTGCAACAGCTGGGAGCAGATTTTGATTTGGCATTACAAGGTTTACGTGTAACACTCAGATGTTTGAAGAGTGTCAATGGAAAGAATTCCATGTCAGATCATAACCAGGTCACAATTTTTGAGTTAACTTTACTTTTTAATCCTGGTTCCTTGAGATACTGTATCCCTTTCCTCACTAAAGTCCCTCAAAAATAAGCAGGCTCCCCTTTTTAAACTCTGTGGTGTTTATTACAACACTAAAAAATGGTGTTGGTCTACTGTGGTATTCTTCCTGTTTCACTAGTGATGTAGGGAGAGAAAGAAAGTGCCATCAAACTGACTGCTTCTAGTTCATTTGGAATGAGTGGTGCACTAATGTAATAAAGCGTCAACAAGTGTCACCTAGTGTCAGCAAAGTGTCAAAAAGTTATTCAAGCACATTTATGCAAAAATTTTATATTTACAATATTAATTAGGCTTCTTCATATCATATCCAATATTTATCTAAAACGATATTTGAGTGTGGAAATTCGACCGACAAATTCAAGCCTGTTTGTGCAACCCAACCAGCTGCCATCTTGTTTTCCCGTGGAGAGCAGAGAAAGGAAAGATAGTGGACCACATACATTGTGAATATTTTTCATTTTCATGCCTGAATCTGGAAGCAAAATCACTGTCTCTTTCACACAGTGGCATGTGCACATTAGAGTCTGTTAAATATAATACAACCACTTTAAAATCTTTGAAGGAGATTTTCAAGTTGTTGACGCTTTGGTGACGCTACTTGTGTGTGTGTTGACGCTAAATAGCATGACTGCCATTTTGGTCACAAATTATCGCGACAGAATCAAGCATTGCATGGCACACAGGGCATGGCACAAAAATAATAAAATTTCTCAATCTCATCCCTTCCGATGGATATTGTCATCAAAATGTTTGGCCTGGATGGCAGAATCATTAGAATGGAACAATGAGGAATTACTGCTGACCCTTTATTTTGCATTTGGAAATTATGAGTTGTGTAAAATGTGCCAAATACTTCCTCAGAGATGAGAGAAGAAAAAACTACTCTTTACAGTTCTCAAAGACTTTGATAAAGCTCAAATTTACCTTTTTTATAAATACACCTTTTTCACCAAATTTGGACAGAAAAGTTTTTATTTCTCCCCCAAAAGTTTGTTACACAACCAGTAATCCCCAGGTAATTATATGTTTTTTAAAAATGGGATTCAAAATAACAATCAATTTATATTAAAAATACCGGTGATACTTCAGGCTGCATTTGTAGGAGAAGGGCGTAAGATATTTGAAAAGAAAATGTAACCACATCCCCACGAATTTACATTCATTCATTATCTCGCGCGCGGAAGTCGGACCCCGCCACCACCAGACTAATGTTCATGTACGTGTTTGACTCCGCGCCACGCACTTACAAACTGGCACCCAACTAATCCAAACGCAAGGCAGATTATGTGTGAAATATTCTCTATTATCGACTTCCTAATGTTTAATTACTTCCTCAAATAAGCATTGGTTAGATTAGTGACGTTTTATTTTCAAAATATTACTGGAATAGTGCAAAATATCTGCAGCCAAACGTTCAGATCATGTCGAGTAAAAAATACGGGCGTGGACACGGGAATTTCCACGCAAATCATGTCCGTTTATGGGATTTTTCGCACAAATAACCTTCATTTTCCTGACTTTACAATGACCATAATCCCCCAAATTGTGACTCTACTTAAACAATAACATTTACCTTTTAACTTACCGTTGAGATTATGTGATATTTTTGGGAGGTACGGTGAAGAAATGTGACGGAAAATTTGGCACAGTCGGGTCTTTCAAAATGGCTGCCGTGTATGCGTGCTGCGTTTGTGCATAATTTGGCTGGCGCAAGGAATGACATCAAACAATGCATGTGGCGACACACAACACACAAGACTATCCAGCCGTCATCGACATGTGGCTTAGGCAGGCTTAACATGCACATCCATGTTTCACTTCCTTCGTGTATTTCAACTTACTTTTGCATCAAAAAAACACTTAAAAACCGAAAATTCGCCAACAATGTTTCTTAAGTGCATTTTAAAGACAGCCATGCTAAGTTTTGCAGGCGTTTTTTAAGCTCAAAAGGGATTAATCGGGATAAAAAGTTGTCTTGGATGATGTACCCTTTCGGTGACCCTAGGCATCACAGCCTCAACCATAGTAGATAACAACTTTGTACTAAGCGGTTTTGCGGCAAAAACGTCCAACTATTTGTTAAACCCGTGATGGTAGCTTTGGTTTATATTCTGAAATCTGAATTCGTGGCATGACAAAACTGAGCTCGTCAAAATAGCTACACAAAGTCGAACTGGCATGTTTATAATATGTGCAAAATGTGTTCCAATTAATGCTGTACTGATATACTGCCAAAAACACCATTTCACCACAACACTTAATCCAAAGATGTATCTAATAGAAATAATGGATAGTAGTAAAGTGTTCTTGTGATTTTTTCATCAAAAGAAGTGATTCAATTTGACGAAAACATTATCTTTTCTTATCTATTGTATCTAAAAGATTATAGGTCATGGGTGAATTGATAATCTCCATGCTTGATTGCGCTACACGCACCCCATAACCGCCACCCCGTTATCAATATGCAAATTACATTTTGAGACTAATGATTGGACGAAACCACAATAGGAAACAATGTCATTGGTCACAGGAATATGTTTGATGAATATTCAATAGTGGCTAAGAGATAGACTTCGCACACGTCTGTTCATGTTATCGTAGTGGGCCAACGAGAGTGAAATACAATGTAGTCCGTGGCGAAGTTTTTTCCTATGACAAATGCTGAAACAGCGTTCTTTTACGCATTTTCTATTCTGCAGAATAACCACATATCCGATCAAGGAATAAGAACAATATGTGAAGTAATGATTAACATATGTTAAATAATATTCAAGCCTCCTGTTTGCCGATGACCCTTTAGACTTTCATTATATTTATTGTAACTGTTCTCTTCCGGTGTATCTCTCTTACACATGTATTATTTTGTATTTATTGTGTCTCTGGCAATTAATTTAAATTTCAATTAATTAAAATTCTTATTCAGTTATGCACATTAGTTTATTCATTTCCAGTAATTTTATATTTAAATATTTATAAGTTCTAACTTTTGGCTTCAAATACTTTTATATATTAATTCTTTTATGTAATTCTTTTATTCTTTTATATTTATTTACTTTGTATACAACTTGATGAGGAGCGACAGATCTCTAGCAAGAGTGATTGTTATCGCTTTTGCCTCTCCTAAGCCCATCTTGTATGTGATGGAAAAGAAATGGCATGAATAAATAATAATAATGATAATAATAGTTGCTAGTTTTTGGAAAGTTGAGGCTGCGGCTAGAAATAACACGTACGCTTGTACATGAAGAAGCCAGTAGCTCGCTAGCGGCTGCAGCACATTCTCCTCCAGCTACGTACACTGTACATATACATGTACATGCACATGCACAGTACTGTACATTTTAATTAAAATGTATAATGTACATGTACATGTTCGTGTATACATGTATGTGTACATGTACATATACACACACTGTTGAGCTATGCATGGTGTGCAAAATCTGACCCTCAGACAAAACTGGCAGCATTCGAATCTGTTGTCTAGAGCTAGGTCTAGGTCTTCACACTCCATTGGAAATAGGCGTAGACACAATAGACCTAGCCATAGCCATGGAGGCCCGTTTTGGACACATTTCGTCCAGCCATTCTGAAGCAGCGTTGGAAACCACGTGTTCAAGCTCCGACTGGAAACAGCGAAACCGAAGTCTAAAGCGAACCGACTCGTTTCGAAAACGCTCTAAGCGTACGAGTAATAAAGGATCTCAATACGACGCTTTTAGCGTCAATCTGCGCATTTCCGCGTTCGAAAACGAGGCTGTATGTGTTAGCTTAATACGATCAGACGATGGAAAGTAAGGAGTCAAGACACAAAATACGTAAAGGTATGTTTGATTAAGACTTTCCAGGCTTCAACTTTTTGCGGAAGAGTCTTTCATTTGACTCAACACGTAAAATCAAAAGAAAAAATAACAGCAATTTACCGCGAACTAACGTACCGTACCTGCGATGGCCGTGTATCTTGTGCAGTGGGCGTGGTTTAAACTGAAGTGGCGCCCACACTTACGAACCGGATGCAGCACGTGCTGTGTCGATTCCGCGGGCGCGCGATTAAGTTCAACACAGAGAGCCTCGGTTTCGATGCGGATATGCGCAGATGGAGTTAATGTGAAATCCCTCTATTGGGGTACAGGCAGTCCACTAATTCAAAGCCCCTTTGAAAGCAGTGTAACTTTAGCACTGTTCACAGCCCAATAACATGCATACTGAAATCCCTGAGATTTCTGAAATTAAATTATTGTCTGGTCCCAAAACCTTTCAGTTTCTTTTATTTTTGGTGGGTTTACCAATTAGTCTTTTAATTATTTCCACAAAACAAAATCACCTCCCGAAAAGTGATTTGTCCGAAATCTGATTGCAGCCATTTTCCAACTGGCAACCCTCAACTTTTTCTTGGGCACTTAGGGTATTTTATGACCGTATTTTTTAGCATTCTGCATGAAAGCCTAGAGACCCAGGGAGTTGATCCTGACAACGATTTACACAATCTCATTATTTTGGGGGCCAAACAATCTCCTTTTACAAAAGATACCGGGGCGCACTTTTAATACTAATGAGCTTGAAAGAAATTTCTCACTTGAATAAGTAGACTGTACCCATATAAAGGGCCCGGAAAGAGCGGGAGCTTATGAGACGCATGGTGACGTCATATTTCACTCGATTCCCTTGCCACTAAAGATTTTCACTTATTTTATGGAGACCCATCACTATGCAAGCTCCACGCACGGCATAGACGCATAATGCACTGAAGAGCACCTATCAATTTCCCTATCACTCCTCGGCAACTGATATCCTAATTATTTTTCATTGAAATTCTAAAATGTAAGTCATAACCACATGCAGAAAATAGAAAATATAGTGTATGCTAAAATAGAAATATAGTTTGTGTCGTATGTGTTTTTATTCATTTGTTTCCTGTCTGTGATTTTTTTTCCACCGCCAAGAACCACAGAGGCAAGCCGTGCTTTCTGCGGGGGGGGCCGCAACCTTGGACTTTTCTTCACCCCGGCCCCCGAAAAAAATAATAAATACCTAAAAACTGGTAGGCGCCTCTGTCTTTATACACGGGTACTCACTCGCTGTGCACTTATCTGGTTTTTATTTTTTGTTTAGACGTTGGAAAATTCCAATTATGCAAGATTTGAAATAAGACATCTCCAGCTAACAAGTGGGCAATCTCTGTAACCTAGCTACTCCCCCGGCTATGGCGCGCCTGGGGCTTACTCCTTCGATGTCCCTCCCCGCATGCCCCACTGGTCACCATCAACATCACCGAATTTATTGACATACATGTAGACGGATGCAAACTAGGCTTTATGACCCCAAAAATGATTTAGTATTTGAAATATTGAATCGCTTTCCTTTTTTTTTACCCTCCAAACCATTTTAAAGCCATACCATTAATCTTCATTTACATAACACGTCATAGTCATACCCGACATGCCCGAGGCAGATCCACTTGTGCACTTGTGTTTACAAAATTGATCGCAGTCAGGTGCCCATCCACTTGAACTTGAACACTACACGCACTACGTAAATTGCCAGTAATGTCAACGACGCCTGGTATCATGACGAGGAAAGGGGTTGAAATACAGTCTGGTACCGTTCTCATATGGGGGGAAATTATCAGACTGGTATATGGGATCAAGACAAGCTTGCCCAATGTTTTTTTATCAGCGGTGCTGTCGATCTCTTGCGGGGTTTACAGTAGAAATTGTTGTAATTTCTTGTTTGTAAACTACCTGTATTAGGCCTACGTACTTCTTGTAAGTACAGAGCTTTCTTTCACTATCATTGTGCTTTTTGTAAAATGGATGATCATGACAGCAATAGGCCTATATTTGGACGGAAGCGAAGCGCGAATTCCTTCCTCCATTTTTTATTAATATCAGATTGGCCTATATTCATCAATTATTTCTGGTAGGCCTAGGCCCTGTTGGTAATGACAGTTGACACCAAGGTTCCCAAGGATTCCTCAAAAGTGTATGAGGCACTGTAGCTCGCAAACGTGAAGAAAGCTGTCCTATCGTGCCTAAATTAGCTTGCTACATGTGTCGTCATGGCCATGCATTTCTGTCTACATGGTTTAGGCACAGTTAAACGCAATCTTGACTCTTGTAAGTTTTTTCACAAATGCCTGCCCTTGCTTTGAGTAGAAATAAAGTTACATGTAAGTTAAGTTAAAGTTAAGATTTAATGTAGGCCTAGTCTCTCCTGACTTGATAATCCTACGGATGGATTTCATTCAAAGGCACATCGACTCCGGATGGAGTGCAATAAATTTGTGCAGATTAACAGCTCAGAATACCCTGCCACCCTGCATGATCCACCTCATAGCCGGTCGGCGTAGAGGTTAACTTTAAATGTCACACTGTTCTCGTGGTGATTTCAACCTCATACCCATGTAGCCAGTCATGCAAGTGATTTCAAGTGGTGAGGTGTTCTGCAATCACTTGGAAACTACATTTACCTTCTTTCTAGTGAGAGAAGGGAGAAGCTGGGAGAGATCATCATTTGGATGATTATTTGTGGCATTAATAATTGAACATATTAAAATTAGTAAGGTGTGTCAGGAATTGAAGAGAACAGTGCGCAATCATTTTTTTTGAGGAGTCCAGATCTGTTTAGTTGCGATGTATGCAATATTACATTTTTTGTACCTTGGAATGTGCCTCATTGAAGCACTTTATTCAAATAGTGTCGTGTGAAAGATCTTTGAACGGCAGATTAGGCGTGTTTGAAGTCGCTGTTTAAACATTTGCATGGCCTCCAGGACGTCCAAAGGGTTTTTAGACAACACTCTCGCCCACACTTCAACCTTGTTAAAAATTCTAATATTTCAAGTTCTCCTCAGGTGTTTGAGAGTGATGCCCAGCGATGCCGACCGACCAGACTAACCTCAAGAAGGCCAGCAAGCAGCGTTTGTCCATCCGACGCAGCATGCGGGACAGTGAGGCCGCTGCCAGACAGAGAGGCTCGGACGCAGGGGACAGCATCCTTCCCCAGGTCTACCGGGCCCGCCTCTTCAAGCTGTTTGGGCAAATAGAGCATGAATTTGAGGGGCTGTATGCTGAGAACCTTCAGTGTAAGACTGAGAGATTTCTGTGTCTGTGCATCAGAACTGGGGGACCTTGGTACCCATACGATGATGTCTAGAATGGGGTCTAACTTATGGAACTGGGTACCTGTGACCACCAGTACAAATCACCTAGTAGCTTTTTGGACAAGGGAAAAGGGAAAGGCTTTTTAAAGGTTTTATTGGAAAAGAATTCTAAATAGAAAAGCAGGTTATGAGATGCTGAAACAGATTCCTTGTTTATGTCCAAACGCTGTTTATGAATGTTATTTAGGTTGAATTTGATGCCGGCTGACATTTTCATAAATGTCTTATAAGCATTCACCCATTAATACTTTTATCTGCAGTGCAGGACAAAGTGGAAACATTGACAGAAAAGCTGGAGGTTCTGCAGAGTGGCAAAGTTCCAGTAGTTGAAGGAGCTGATGGCATGGATGGGGGTACTCGTGCAAGTGTCAAGAGCAGAGGTTTGCTCAATTTATGATGTTCATCAGAGGCAGCTTTTGAGCTAAAGAACTTTGGCCAAAAATGTCCGTATTATCAAACGCTATCAAACAATAGGCAAAATTAGGCCGCCTTTTGAAGGTCCATACCACCCTTTGGTGCCTCCAATTTGATATTTTGAAATGTACACACCTTTTGTAAAAGTCCCAGTTCATCAGCTTTCAGTGTTCGAGAAAATGGGTGCACCCCCTAGAAATTTACCCAAGCACTGGGCAATATGTCGCTTTTTTTCTTACAGCAAAATTATACATAGTCTAAGGACTCTCATAATGATGTGATGCCCCCAAAGTAACGGGGTCTCATTAGATTTAAGTCTGCTTGGTAAATACTCGCATTTGTACCTTGAAGAAACCCTTTATGGGTAGATTTTTGTGTCTGCGCTATTCTTGAATTGCAGCATCCAGTCAGTTGTCCAGTCTGATTCTGAAGCCCAAGCACAAGCCAACCACAGGCAAGGTAGGTCCCCAAATGATACAGATGACTATCGGCTTACACCACCAGCTTAGCACAGAATTTTACCAAGCAAAAAAAAACAAAAATAATATAAAACTTGCTTACTATTAAGAGTAGGTAACTGACCAAAATGTCATGTATTATTTGTATTTTTGTGACTGGTTTCTAGTAGATTTTAGCTTGGCATTTGCTGAACAGTTAGTGTCAACTGAGCACTTCCTGAGTTTGGGGGCCAAGGAGTGCATAATTAACATAATTGTCAGTGATTTGTACAGGGGAGATGCTAATTGTGAAAGAACTTGATTTGAGGGAGACCTTTGTTCAGTATCTCACCCTGTTCCTTTATTATTGTGCCACCCTAGCAAAATGACCAGTTCATACAAGAAAATCTTTCATTGCGATAATGCAGGCGGGTGGAGAGGAGCAGGGTTGCTTTCGGCCCTATCTCTGTTTCTCATCAAACTTAGAAAAAATGACTGAGATTTGATCCAAACATGCCCTCTAGAATACGGGACGTTTACCCCATCAAATAGTCCCTCCAAAACAATGCAAGTGATGTACTAGTTTGTACGTGACACATGATTCCTATGTACCGGGCACGTATACAAGGGTTTCATAACTTTTGAACAGAGATGGAGGCTGCTTTGGAGACTACCAATGTTAGGCTAGCTTGATCACTCGGTCAGTGCTGCTGGGTTTTTCAAATCTGGGTCTTCATCTCCATCGTTGGTCTCAAGCCACAATTTTGTTAACTTACATGTGGTCCCTAGAGTTGAGACCCACATGCTTAACACAGGGCCATCGTCCACCACCAAAAAATCAAGTCATCTAGTATGAGGCCAAGGTTTGGAGCTCTTTATTACATTTTAACAGCAAATGCTCAAAACTGCTCGTAGAGCTCAAGATGAAGTGGAAGACAGACAATATTTGGAAAACCTCTTTAGTTTGGCATTATGGATGAAGTACAAATAGACTTAATATCCAGCCTGTTGTCAATTTCCTGTGAAATGAGAGTTGTAACAAGTGAATCTAGTCTTTTTTTTTATTCCTTACCTTATTCAGCCTTTTTATGCTTGTCACTGAAAGCAGAGCTGTTTTATAAATTTGGTGAATTGGTGTTACTACAAACAGAATGTATTCAGCTTCAAAGGAGCGAGCACCTCAGGCTGTCAGCTGGTGCGTCACTTCAGGGGTCATCGCGATGGTGTTTGGGAGGTCAGCCTGTCCAGAGGGGAGACACCATTGCTTGGAACAGCCTGTGCAGGTATGTATTTATTCAGAACTCTGTTTGAATGTCTCACAGAGTGCCAGATTTATAGTGGTGTATTTCAGCTTGATTGAGATTGTGCCATTACATGGTCGGTGTTGTTTGTTACAGATCGAACAGCAAGACTGTGGTGCATTGAGACAGGAGCATGCGCCCTTGAATATGTCGGCCATCTTGGATCTGTTAACTCCATTCGGTTCCACCCTACAGAGTCACTGGTCCTTACAAGTATGTTTTTGAAAATACCACTTAATGGTGGTTTTTCTACCCAACAAAACCTTTCCCAAGATCTTTGGCAAAAGTTGAATGCTATCCTAACCATAATTTGACATTCATGAACTAACTGGGAAATTTTGATCACTCGTGGTGGTCAACAGACCCTTCCCTGGGTGGAGAAAGCAAGGCAGTTCAAAAATGCTTGACTTGTTTTATGACTTTTAGACCAACAAGGTTTTTATGAATGAGGATAACAGTACGCGGGAACAGTTCTGGACACAGTGTTTAAGAGTAGTGTGGGGTTTAATTTCTGACGACAGGCTTTACCTTCAACTAATGGCATTATCAGTGACCAGACCCAAAGCTAGTTAAAAACCACGGTTGCAATCATTCTAGCACAGTGTCGTCCCCTTATTTATTTTACATGTCATTCAAGCCAGTATTGAAGCAGTGTGTAGTGCCATTTTGTATCTCGGATGAATGGAATTCAGTTGGTACTCCACACTGTCATTCTCACAGGTTCAGGTGACTGCACAGCCCATGTTTGGAAGTCCACTGTGACATTACCCCAGCCCACTCCGGCTTCCGATGTCAGTGTAAGTTCATTCCTATAGTGGTAGCATTCCAGCATAAAGTGGCCGATGGATAGGTGCTTTGTTATTTCGACAGCGTGAATGGATACAATTGAGCAGTGGCCAATTATTACAGTGGGAGATGCCGTGTGCACAATAATTTGGGACTTAATATGTGCAATAGATTTTCATTTGAATGTGCACAAGCTGCCAGCATTTTCTGTCGGCAGCAAGCCTATGGCGGCAAGGGCATTCAAGCGACTTAGTCAAAGTTGAGGGAGGACTTTGGCACATCAATGTAGTTGTATCTGCCAAAAAGATTTCATATTGTAAACAAAGTGACATGATTTTAAGGTTTGTCTTTATTTGGGGTTTCCGTCTCAGCAGAAATCATGCCCATCTTCAGGTGATGATGTTGATGGATCTGATAAAGAGGAACCTGATGGTAAGTATTAGATGGAAACATCAGCAAACCTTCCCAGTTTGTTGTCTTCTGTTACTTTTCTTGTTTGACCTTACATTCTCAGTAGAGTCTGCATGTTATGTTTTATTCCGTAGTAACTTAGTTTTATTTACAATAACTTAGTTTGTCTACTTGCTGTAGTTTCCAAGGACACAGTTTCAATGCGGGCACCTTCCAACCCTATTGGTGTTTACACATATCCTATTCCATGTGATCCAAGTAGAGCAAAGACCACAGTATTGTAAACTTAGTAGTTCCCCCCCCCATTCTTTGTACAGGACTACAGGATGGTTGCAGCCACTGAAAAGCTGCATCTGAATGAAATCAAGCTTAAACCACTCCGTGCCGGTGGCAGTTATCAATGTTGATGATGCTGGGGCGGGATAATTATCATTTCATTCTGTTTTCCAAATTCTTTAAAAATTCCTATCTTCATTTACTGGACGCTTACACCGACATGAAGGACTGTCTGGTTTCTACTCTAATCTGATAGACAACATCTATTGACGCTAGAGCATTTCAGCCAGGCCTGCCACCTTGTAAAAAGAGCCCAGATTTTGCAGTGTTACATAATTTTTTTTTTTGTTCAGGAAACTAGCACAATGCGCTGCTCACCTCTTTTCAATGGAGCGCTTTTGTCCCTGGTGGTAATCTGCTCACTCTGAATCCCCCAAACCGTGGTATACTGTTTTAACCCTAACACTCCTCAATCCTTCACCTGTTGGAAGACTGAGGAGTGTTAGGGTTAAAACAAGGCTGGATTATCTCCACTATTGATAGCGAAAAAATGTTGGTAATGCCCAGCAGCCTGGTCTTTTGTTACGAGCACAGTCTTTTGTTACAAGGCCTAGTTCCCTTTGTCCGATTACGGAGACCCCGGCCACACGTATAAAGAATAAGTGTCGAGTACGGGAAACCCCATTGGCAAGTGGTTAAGGCAAATGGAAATGTGAAAACAGAGCGAATTTGATGTCGCAAAACATTTGCAGTGAAATTTATTTGAGCTGAAATGTGTTCCACTTTTGCAAATTTCCAGCATGGATATTTGATCTGGTGTCACAATTTTTGCGTTCATGTCAGCTTTCATTCCAAGCAGGATGTGGCCTTTACTTACCTGCGGCTACTGGTAGCACACTTCTATGGGAAAAAGACTGCAGCTACCAGCCAGTGATTTTCATGTTACTCTATATTGGATGCACCTATCTGCCTTGAACGGAAGTGCCCCCTCATCAGTTGAAAAGAGTCACATTGGTCGGGTGTATTCATTTCATTGGTAGTGATGTGACTGTAACGGTTGCATTTCCTAGTCATTTGTGAACCAGTGAACTTCAGTTCCGACCAATAGAACCTCTTGCTGAGAAATAGCGCCCTCTCTTGGTCCATCTTCCCAGTTGGGAATTTTTTGGTGTGCCTTTTGTACTCTTGGCTAAAGAGCCCCCATTCAGAATGATCAAAATGTTGTCTTGTCATTCAGAAATTGTCAAATGCCAATTAAAAATTGCTATTCTTTTTTACATAAACTGCCTAACTTCTTGATCTGCACTGAGTGTGTACCTGGATTTGTCTGTACATTAGATAGGGTTGTAAAGATAATGATTAGCAGAAAATTTAAATAGGGAGAATGGAGATACATATTTCTGGTTGTAATGGATCAGAACTTGTTAATTAATAGTAAGAATGGATTTACCTGCTTTCTTTTGTCCTTGAAGGTGTTGAGAATGAAAACATTGTCTACGTGAAGTCGCCGCAGGCGCAGCTGGAGGGCCACTCGGGGGCGATCATCTCGGCCGATTGGCTGGCTGGCGGCAAGCAGCTGGTGACAGCATCGTGGGACAGGACAGCCAACCTGTACGACGTGGACACCGGTGCTATAGTACACACCCTCACAGGTGCGTTGCATTCCTTTGCACGTTCCACTCTGTGCATGAGCAATCGAGGGCGCTGTTGTGTATTTGAAGGGAGGATTTCCTCTTGAAATGATTCAGTTGCTGTGTGTCGTTGTAGGGATAAGTACATGACAGAGCTTGTTATTTTGTTTTGGTCGAATAAATAATATTATTAATTATAATCCAAATCATGTTGATATCCTACAAACTCAGATACCAGGAATGACAAAGAATTTTTTCTTAAACTTGGCCACCTGAAAAACCCTGAAAAAGAATATTGGCTTAAAAAAAATCTTCCCCAGAAAGATTCAGAGACGTACCGGTACCTTACCAGCCCCGGATGTTCAATTGAAAAATTGAAGCAGATCATTTTGTTGATGTCCATTAGGCCATGACCAAGAATTGACCCACTGCTGTGCATCTCCGTCCCAGAAGCTGGTGGTGACCTCCTCCGCTGACACCACGTTTAGACTGTGGGACTTCAGGGATCCCAGCATTCATTCTGTCAACGTCTTCCAGGGACATACTGAGTAAGCCCCGCACCCTCAAGAAAATAGGGGCCCTTTGGCATATTGTGAAGTCTAGAATAAATTTGGTATGGACCAAATGGTATGGAGTTCAGGGTACATTTGGTGTGTTCCAAATAGTATGAATACCAAGGAACAGTTGGGAAATTCTCATTCCCAATGGTTGCCAGTGTAGCATCAGTGTTAGACCATGTGGATGTACATATGTCATTGAAATGTTGCAGAACTTTGTGAAAAAAACAACAAACTCCACTCGTCTTATGAACTAAATTGTCTGCAATTTTCCCCATCTTTTTTGTCTCATTTGAAGTGCTGTTACATCGGCAGCATTTGCATCAGGCGACAAAGTCGTAAGCGGCTCAGATGACCGATCGGCCAAAGTCTGGGATCTGAAAAACATGAGAACGCCCATCGCTATGATCCGATCGGATGCAGGGATCAACAGGTGAGGAAATGGAAAATTGGCCACATCCGAATTAAAGAAAACGTTGTGGAAATCAAGATCATGCAAGGGGTTTTTTGACGGGCCGCTTTTGACGTGATAACAGATTGATGATAAATTTACAGGCCAGATATCGTTGTCAATCTGTAGAAGTGGCTATGGCAGTCTTCTAGTTCATATTAACACCAAACACTTATGCAACATTGCAGTGAATGTCATGGAAATTGTCATTTTAGTCGTGGAGAGTTGTGGAAAAGTCATAGAATTTTGTTTTCCGATTTCTGTGGGAACCTTGGTGGAGGTCCAACAAAAAGCGTCCAGTATGAATGCTTGGCTCAGGATGGGTTGTTAGGTGTCCTCACAATCTTGTGTCGTAAATTACCGTAGATCCATCTTACATTCTATGTGCATGCAGGCTTTCCGTCTCCGCAACCAACAACGTGATTGCCATTCCACACGATAACAGACATATCCGTCTGTATGACCTGAATGGCGTGCGCCTGGCCCGGATGCCACGAAACAACAGACAGGTGAGAAAGAACAAAACACCTTGTGAAAGATGTAACAAACATGTAACAGGCATGTGGAAGACATGCAGAGAATGAATGTATGTTGAATTCAGGATATTTGGACAGGGACATGTTCAGCACAGCGTCTGTGGCGATATAACATTTGTATATCTTGACTACTTTTCAAACTGTTGCTGCTAAATTTTGCGGCCTTTATTTTCACCTAGGGACACCATCGTATGGTCTGCTGCACTGCTTGGAATGATGAAGCAGCCTCCTGCAATCTCTTTAGTTGTGGCTTCGACCGACAGGTCATTGGATGGAAGGTCGGTATTCTTGCCTCTTAATAACTTGGAAGGTGTCCAATCAGAAGACATTGTCCAGTGAACTCATGATCTGTCAAGCCTACAGTTTGCTTGGTGGTTGTTGGACGGGAAATTTGTTGGTGTAGCTTGAATGGTGATTGACCAAAGAAAAATGTAGATCCTAAATGTGATCAACCAATTATTAGTGGGAAAGGTTGTTATAGCAAGTAATACTGACCAATAACCGAGTAGTGTTGACCGGCTATGCAGGTCCATTTGCACAGGTTGTTGAAAAATTCACCATTTGGCCAATTAGCAAAAAGACCCTTCAGTATAACTGACTAATTAGTTCACATCTTGTAGCTTTGATTGTCCAATGAGGAAGAAGCTTGAATAGATGAGGTTTCAATTAGCCATCTAAGTAATTAGAATCAGCATAAATGACGAATCACTTCACATCTTATAACTTTGATTGTCCTATGAGGAAGCAGCATAGATAGTCGGGTTGTTGATCAGCAGTCTAAAGTGGTCAGGTGCAAGTGGTAATACAAAGCTTTATGTTCTGGAGATGAGCAAAAGCTTGAAATTAATGTGTATTGTGCCCAAACTTTTGCCATTCAGTGAAAGAGTAATGCCATTGTATGGAGATGTATTGTGTTGGATATATTATTGAATGATCATGGAAGGACATCTGCATTTCAGGTTTTTATTGGGTGGGAAAAATGTTGGGATTGTGGTTTCCTTACAAATTTTAGTATGCTGTTGACTTTTACCATTTCCAAAGTGAGCGTTCTTGAATATTGAAATCTTCCTGAAATTTGACTGCAAAGCTTCGTATGTATGTACATGTATTCTGTTTTGCCTAGTGCAGCTTGTATGTGCTTTACTGTTTTAAGTTGAAAAGTTAACCCGCACAATATACATGTATTTCAATACAAAACAGAGGAAGCAAGTGCTTCCAAGCAATATTCCTAATATCCGATGACCAACTTTGAAAAACCTGGCAAAATTGTTACGACACGAATCACAGTTCAGCACTGAGAATTTTCTGAAATGCTCATGCAAAGAACCCCTTGCTGTTTTTTTTTTATTTATGAAAGGAATTCTCGTCAAGTAAACTTTAGGATGAGAATAATCGACCTCTGTACTGATGATGCCACACGGTGTTTATGTATGTGCTTTCCTGCAGTGCTCAGTGGACCGTGAGCCCCCACTGGCTCTGTTGGAAAGTGCACGTGTGAACAAAGTGTGAGGTCATCGTAAATAGGCCTTTCAAAGATACCATCACTGCCTTGGCGGCCCGGTAATGAGAACTACCAAGCGACGGTATGAATTGCTTCACATTCATCAAATGTCATGCCATCCAAGGGTTATGGGATCGGGGTTAGAAGCATATGCAACCAACTTCCTCACAGAGTAAATAAAACCTGTTCTTGCCTCAGTGTCTTTTTCAAAGTTGGTAAAACCCATTATGAAGAGTATTATTTCCAAGAATGTCCTATTGATGTATACTGTTGCGTGTTGTAAGACAGTCCGCTGAGGTTGGTCACTCAAAAGAATTATTTTAATAGCAACTCTGCCTACACATTTAAAAGGCAGCCCTATAAACCCAATTAGATGCAAGTTTCATTTCATGAAATCTTGCTGGAATAGCATGGTTATGGTGCATGTGTATTCTTAGTGTGCAGAATTCGTGCAGAAAATCTGGTAACATTAGAATAAGACAAAAAGTTTAGATCTACGTGTACAAGTGGAACGAGATGAAGGAAAAAGGCAAAGTACGTTTTTGAAGTCCTGTAGCTCAGGAAGGCCAACTTTTCTTAAATTGAAGGAAAGAATGGTAATTTTTATTGTTTATCGAGCACTCTCTGTCAAATACATATGAACATGTATGTGTATTATACACCAGTGGCTTGGAATAAGAATATTTTTATTTTTCTGTTGCTTTTGTTGCAAGCCAAGGAGAAATAATAACTTTCATGTAGTAATCGATTTGAATTTATTGTGCAGAAAAACACATACAGAAGCCCCAAATGTAGTCTTTCCTTTTTCATTTGGCATTTCCTGTTAATGGGGTTGAAGGTATCTTTCCGAGTTATTAAAATGAATTGTACATTAAGCAAATCATTTGCAGCATTGTGATCTTAAAATATTCTTCCACCTACAGCAACGTATTTGAAATATTTGACACCAAAAATGTAAAGCACTTACCGTGATGGGGACTGAGAAACCAGGCCAGGGGTGCAGGAATTGAAGAAAAAAAACCCTGAATACCCTGTGCAGATATACGTCCAGTAAATTGGCTATTCTGTTAGTTCTGAGCAAGGTTGGAGGTACTATCCCTCCCCCACATAGAGGTACTTTGTCTTTTTTGAGAAAGATTCTGCTAGGATCGCAACGTCAGGCCTGGTATCTCATATTTTGAGATTTTTTTTAATATGAGAGAACCATTTTTGTGGACCATTCGATTGCCTGTTTTCTCCAAGCACATTCGTATCTCAGAACAGTTTCATTAAAAATCTCTGTTTGTTTCTTGTACATTGTGTAGAACTGTAGTGAACAGGTGGAGAGGTTCGGGTAAGACATCTTTAAGTATTAGAGGACTTTTTGGGCCAGGGCTGAGTCACAAAATGTAAAGGAACATCCAAAGAAAGTGTGAGCAAAAAATTTAGGTTGAAAAAGATTCCACAGTGTAAGTGAAATCATTCCCCCCCCCTTTTTGTTTCAACTGCATGAACACATGAAGTCTTTTTCAAAATCAAAAGGCTTGCAATTTGTTACAAATGAGGTTTTCATTTAAATGAGGTCTTTTTTCTATTCGATTTTCCAATTCCAACCTTGGCCAGGTTTTCTCAAAACCAGTCAGAATTTCTTTGGTGTACATAGTGAAAAACTTTATTACTGTATATACGGTGAATAAATTAATCTATAATGAAGGTATGCAAAAAAAATCTGTCTATTTAGATTTAACTGCTGAGTGCACATTTAAAAGAACTTATTTTGTGGCCTTTAATATACTATACAGGATTTGATGTTAGAATAGCTCTGTCACCTCAACGCTAATGCGAAAATATGCTGTTTCAGCTGCTTTGATAATTGTTGTTTCTATTAAAGATACTTGGACAAACTAGAGCTAAGAAGTTTCCGCCTATTTGAATATTGTCTCAAACCAGTCAATCTTCTTTGTAGAATTCATACATAGTGGGTATACGTGAATTAGATATTAAATTGGAAGTTTTCTTTTTCAAAATTTAACCATACTTTTGGTTAATGCCCTGATACAATATTCTCTGAGAAAAAATGACTACAAATACAGTAATGACAAACTAAAACACTCTTGACTCGGCTTAAAAATTTAATATCTCTATGTACTTAATAGTCCTGTTGCTCTACAATATCCTCTGTAACAAATAGACATTCATGACAATGGCTTGTGAAACGGCAGGAGGTATAGAAACTACAGACGGTTAACCTTTAAACTAAAAAAAGGACAGAAATGAACACTTGAACATCCTGGACTGTTCGACTTCACAGAATCAACAAACATGCACTTGAGGCTTTGCAATTAACCAACCTTGTACAATTCCTAGGCTAAACATGATTGAACAATCACATGGAACAAAAATCCTCTTTTTTTCATGTTTATAAAAGATACATGCAATACGTGTTTTAAGGCCAATTTTACGGAAAAATATAACAAGATGAACCTATAATGCTGAAAATATTAGAATTCTGTTTTAACCTGCATTGGTTTTTATTACATGAAGTACCAAGGAAAAGTTTTTCAAAATGTTTTGTTTTTTAAAAGCAACTCCTATCAAAATAAGATGGTTGTAGTGGTTGTTAAGTTGTTGCAAATCAGTATTTTGTTACTAGAATGCAGGTCGGAATTATGATTGGAACTTTCATCATTTGCGTCATTTGTTTCAAAAGGCAATAATCTTGTCCAATGCAATTTGACTATCTACCTGTGTTTCCTGTGTGCCAGTGAGGAAACACTATTTATTCAGTGAGCCTGACTGCACAAGTTGGTGACTCCAATAAATGCAGCAGAGAGTCATGTTAGAGATTTATTGACAGAACAAGTCACACTTGTTCATGTGCTGCAAATTAGAAACATTTTGCAGCCGAATGGTAGCGACGTTATACTGGCTAGTCTCTCACCAATGAAAGTCTGCCGCACATGTACGTACAGATGCTGCATTTTGTACAGGGTTATATCCAAATCCAATATTGTTCAACTGTTGAACCTCATTTTCAATTTGATCCGCAAACCATTTTACAGCAAATGTTATGAGGGTTGTCTAAAACACCTTACTCAATCATGGCTTGGTGTGATGCTGAGGATTCACTTGCTGATGCAAAAATATTCATTAACATGTCGGCAAGATTGTCTTTTAATTTTTAAACTTGGAAGTTTTCTGTTTAACATTGTCAATTTAAAATGAAGGATTTGCAGCACTCTGTTTATTTTCACACTAATTATTTTACAATTAAATGTACATGCAAATACACAAGATCTGGTGTTCTAACATATACATGTGATCAGTTTGCAGTTGCTCTCAAAATTAACATGCACCATAAACACAGACTGGAATTTCTCTGAGGCATAAATTTCCTTTGCGATATATACAAAGTTTAGTGTTGTTATTCGTTAATGGTTCAATGACTCAACTATCGCTGTCAAGGTTACAGGAAAAAACATGTTACCAGCACGCACCACATGCACATGTAGAAAGCATACAATTGTTGCCTGGTTGTGAAAGGGTCCATGAGATTTGTACACCTGAGGGGGAAAATGGCTCCCTCGGCTTCACCTCGGCTGCCCTTTGCCCCCTCGGGTGTACAAAAATCATGGACCCCCTCACAGCAGTGTCCAACTAAAATATCTCTCGTTTTTACTGTAAAAAAGAATGCACCATCTAATCACAGGAAAATAAGAAAAACTAAAGCGGGAAAGAAAATAAGGCCCCAGGGATATCCACATTTATAGTTGCTAAAGAATTACTGAGAAAAGTATTCTTGTTCCAGGTTGGACTAGTACCGGAGATCAAGAAGAAAATTACCTCTAAATAACACTCGTTTCAAACGAATTGAAGCTTCCCCAAGATTCCCTGCCAAATCAAGTCTGATGCCTCGTGCCTGAGTCTGAATTATTATATTCAAGTATTGGTTTTTATTCAGGCCTGGGATCTTAAATCATACTGATTTTTTTCCAGGGAGACCATGCTTTTCTCCAAACTTTTTTTTCTGAGTAGAGCTGACAATTAAATAAGATTTTGACTGATTTTATTTCTGGAATTGGTCAGCAAAATCAGTGCAAACACTTACCAGTATATTTGCCCTTGAAGTCTCACTACAAAAACTGACCGAGTATTATGTAGTATGTGTGAACGTCAAAACTTAAAAGAGTAACAAGTGACATTGCAAAATTTATCTGCAGTTCTGAGTTATACAAATAAAGAATATGTACAATGTATACGTGTCTTTGCATTGGCACTTACACACACAGAGGGTGAACACTAGACATAAACATAATTATGGCCAACATCAAAATAACTGATACACGGTGTACAAGAACATGTTGAGCCAATGCTTTGCACAGACAGCTCCTTATGGAGATTAAGTCCAGCAGTAGCTTTGACATGTGTGATGAACTCTAAAAAACTAAAAGCATTCAACCCATGCATGAATTTCAAATTTGACCAATACCGCAAACCGACATTTTGGGAAAAACAATTCATTTTTTGTGTCAAAATGTGGTACTTTTTTCACAATCACAACTTTTCATGTTCATAAACAAGTACACCAGTAAAACAGAAGTAAAATTCATTTGGTCCCCCAAACTGACACTTAGACATCAGCTTTAGAAAAAAATTATATTCCCCACTTGGCCCGCAACAAATCTGATTTACCATAAAATGTAAATAAATTCTGTGCACAAAAAACAGAATCCAGGAGACAATTGCCTTTTTTTGCACATAATGACAAAAGGACACATTACTGCAGGTGCCCTACAGCATTCATCAATTCTACATGCATCAGACAATTTAAAAACCACAAAGGCAAACATGTAAACACGGTACATGTACCATTATTGCCAAAGGTCCGCACACTAAAAAAGAACACTAAGGACAGATTACGACTGGACAGTATTTTATCCAAGACTAGACATAAAATATTCTTTTAACGTTTAAAATGTGCTCTTTATGCTTCAGTATTGCTACGGCCCTGATAATAATGAAGACTAAAAAAACAACAAGAAAATAAAAACAAACATCGGTAAAGATTGCTACTTTGCTTAGTGTTCAAATTACACTGAACACTTTCTGTCCTTGAGAGAAAACGTAAGTGGTGAATGCTGTGGTTCTGAGTGCCTAATGTATTGCCAGTGCATGTACTTGTCAGTAACTCACCTTAGAACAAAAAGTGAAAAAAAAACAAACTTTAGTAAACAAACATGTACATGTATTTACAAAAATGCCCATTAACTAAGGGCACTGCAACCTTCTTTTGATTAGCAAGTCTAACATGTACGTGTACCTCAGGATTCCAGGTTAAATTTAACTAAAGAAAAAAAAAGACAGTCGAAATCTGATAACACGAAGCACAGCCGCGGAATTTCATCAACAAAGACTGGACAAATATGAGGTTGCTTAAGGTCACTGATTACTGATCAGTGGTGGCGGTGTGTCACAATACAGCAATGTACAGCAGGGGACCAGCCACAGGGCATTCATAGAGCAGTGGCACGGTTCCAACTCTCGGGTACATGGAGTTTGCTATTGGAACATGAAGGACATTTTCTCCCCCAGCAGAACTCTTCAAGGCCAAACTTAGAGGAGTTCAGAAACCAAGCGAGAGCACCAATGGGCATCAACATGTATCTTGTTATGCATCCTCTATGGTTTGTGGTAATCAAAGGTGAAACATTCAACATGCACAGGAGCATGTACACTGCCTGTATTGGTTCATTTACATATCACTTGCGTTTTCTCTATAGCTATATTTTGGTACAACACATGCCAACTTTTCTCAACAGTTTCCAAAATGAGAAGACTGTTCCAAAAGCTGAAAGTCTAAATAGTTTGTGCTACTACACGAACTCATGTAGAAAATGAATTCATCTACAGTGTATGTGAGGTGACATTCGTGTGCATTATTTACATGTACTAATCACGTACTCCAAAAGAAACTAACATTGTCTGTTTCTGTATAAACATATGATGATCATAAACACATGCATCTGCAGTAAGACGTGTGTGTGCATGTATGTACGTGTACAAAAAGCAGCAGGAACATAAGAAAGACCTCTGTATCTTTGTGAGAACACATGGCAGAAAGGCAGCACAGAAATCAATGCTTGTGACATCTCTGTAGAATCTAATCTAGGGTAATGCTGACAACAAGCTCTTTTACTTTGTCCATTCAGCAGAATAAAATAAGGGATTTTTGCCTTAAGCTACCAACAAATGACAAAAAAAACCCTCCGGGTAAAAACACCAAAAACTACACAAACAAAAACTGTAATGCTTTTTTTTTTGTGTCGCTACTTGCAATAACCTCTTTGGTTCCATCGTCTACAAATTTTCCCTTTGGTCCCCAACGTGTGAAATGCTGTGAATTCATTTCAGTAATTTACCAGTATGTACACATTCTCCCTAACGGCTACTCTCTCCTCAGTGGCTGAAAAACTTTCAAAGATGCCGGTGCCTGTCATCAAATATGGTACCTGCCACGGGTTACAACCACAACTGTTGCTAGGAATTGGGGGGGGGGGAGGAGGGAGCTGTGTGGCTACTACCCATGTGCTCTATCTGGCCTCTTCCCGTCCCTCTCTTTCAAGATTTTGTCTCTCTTCTCAAAAGGCATCTGTACTGATGATGCCATGCTTTGTTTACATGTGCTTTTCTACGGAATCAGAGGAGGCCCAAGTTCTGTCAAGTACAAGAGAAATGTGCGTATGTACACTAAAGCCCCTCGTCATCAGTACAGAGGCCTATTCCATTAGAAAAGGACAGCAAAAGTTGTCCCCGACATTCCAGAAATTTCTCCAAGCCAGAAAAATCTCGTCCCAAGAGTCATTACCACATGAAAACTAATCATAGGTCCTCCAAACCAACAGTTTGGGTCCAGTACTACACCTGTTGTGACAACAAGCCATTTACAAAAAAGACAGTAAACAAGTCACAGTGTTTTGTTCGAACAGACGGACCAAATGACAGTCTGGGCTAACGGAGATTGAGAAGATATGACCTATTTGAAATAGCTGGCCCCGTGCCATCCCCTCATATCGGCTGAAAGGATGGTATTCATTACATGGTGCAGGCCATGCTGAAGAGAGACCAGTTGTCGTTCTTGCCAAATGATCAAATGTTCCAACGGGGAATTCGTTGACATTCGATTCCCATTCTATCAAGTCAAGCCATGGAGCTCCATAGTCAAGCCCATGCCTTAATATGGTCGCAGTGTGGGATGGCATAAGCGGTGCAGATTGAATCCGAAGAAACAAATACATGTAGTTTAATCCTCAAATACATGAAACACCCCCCTCTCTTTGGATTCATCAGCTCGCCACACAAAACAAGATGTCAATTGTCATTTTGTGAGTTGTTTGCTCCATGATTAAATGCCAAGCAAGCAGTTTTACTAGGGTTGCGTACTTTCCATGGTCTCTTTAAGCAACTGATAACTTCAGGCAAAATGTCATAATATAGGAGGAGAAATTTTACACCTGACCCTACATGTACCAACTGATTTGATTAACCCCTTTGTTGGCTCGGATAACCGCAGGTGCTAATAAACGGTTTTTTGATGGGTTTCCCATATCATCAGCAGTGAAGGACCAGCATATATGAAGCCTGTATCAGTGTCTGTAAACACAGAACATGCAAGGGAAAAACAGCCCACCCACACTGAAACATACATGTACATGAAACTTCAGAACTCAAGAACCATGGAAATTATTTTGATGCTGTTTTATATAAAAGTAAAGTGGGTATTGCAATGAAGAAATAAATTTGCTCATCAGAGACAGCATTTCTCTGAGCCACTTTTAGGGGCAGAACATGGGTTGTAACAAACACAGAAGCTCAACAACAGGTAATTTCAGCTGACAATCGGTTGCAGGCAATTTAAACCGCGACTTCTTTAGCTTGTTAAGCAGTAACCTGTTTTAGAAAGGCACGTGCTTTCAGTGCAAGTAAAGTTGTGTGATTAGCACACTTGCGAGATTGACTGCAGGAATGAGAGAGAGAGAGAGTGAAGTAAGGTATCTTACAGAAATTTACAGAAATTCAAGCTTAAGGGGTAGGGGGAAGGAAGGATGTCGAGGGTGGGGCCAGGGGAGGTTTACTCAAACAGGTCTTGTTCCATGGGCTTCTTGATCCAGGAGCCAAGCCCGGCCTTCTCAAAAGCCTTCACCATGACCACCTTGGCCCGATTGTAGTCCACTGCCTGTGTCTTGGCCTCAGCGTAGGTCTTGGGAAGGGAGGCCAGCGTCACTGCACCACCGGCAAGCTTCCCGTGCAGTTCCTTGAACTTGGCAAACAGGGCGCTCTTGCAGAGGCGAGAGGGCTGGCCGCCCTCCTGCTTGCCCGTGGTGGCGTTGATGACCTCCAGCTCTGGGTCGCCCAGGGCCCAGTTGACGCTGAAGTTGGGGGCCTTGCCTGGCATGCGGCTCTGCGTGTTGCTGACGCCGCTCAGCAGCGGTCGGTTGAGGCGGTAGGTGGCCGGCAGCTCCTCCAGGCAGCCCAGACGGGAGTAGAGGGCCCGCGACAGGTGGTCGGAATGATAAAGGGAGCCCAGGATGACACTGTTCAGGTAGATGGGCTCCACAAAGTGACTGAGTAGTGACCCTTGAATGCCTAAAACATTCCACCTGGACAGAGAGAATGAAAAATAAAAAAAATCCAATTAACGTAAATACAGATTAACTGGGATTGGTTAATCCCAGGAAATTCGGGAAACAAAAGTTGACTCAATGAGCAGGGTACATGTAAATTTGCATCTTTAACATAGATGTACAGAAAAAATCAGGTGGGTTAAATTTAACAGTGCTGCTTAACAGTATGCATGAAAGTCGTGCTTATTATGTGACTGAAAATGCTGCTAAAGCACTATTTCATGGTGTGGGTGTGCTCATAGTGGCATGTACGGTACATGTACATGTATGAAGGTTGGCATTGTTGTCATGGAGATGAGCAACCTTTCCTCTGGGACATGCTTTTGTAGTGCCTACTGCTTAACAGTTTCTGTGAAACAGACGGAAGCTCTGTTATCGCCAACTCAGCTGTAATGCAGTGCTATGAAAGAGGGCCCAAGTCTCTATGCTTGCCATTAGCAAGCAATCTTATAAGTTGGTATGTTACATAGTAAAACCTCATTTTTTTCAGGAAAAAAATACTCGCACAGCAGGTCATAGGTACATGTACATGTAGTGTACATGTACATGTACATGCACAGGTCTGTACATGATCACGCTTTACAACAAAGCCAAATGTTCTTCTCTCAGAGACACAAAACCCCCTCCCAAACTACATGTATGTACCGGTAGATTAAAGCTGCCTAAATGTAACCTTGTACAACGAACCCCATGTTTGCACCTTCTGTACTTGAAACTGTTTTCCAAAATCGCACCGTATCTGTCTTGTTTTTCCAATGGAGTAGGGAGCATCACAATAAAAATATCAGAGAGCTGAAATCTTTGTGCTGTCTGGCCAAGATCAATCTAGAAATCCCTAAATACCAATTCACCTCACACCTGCTTTGCTCTGGCTGGTATCTAGACATTAATCTGTCACTTGGTAAAGAGCCATCAACTAGAAGTTCATCAGAGGGGTGGGTGCATGCCGGTAGATCTACATGTACCTGACCATGTTCATGGATAATAGGTTGTGATTAAGCACACGTGTGGTGATGGTAAGCCCCATTAGGCGCCACGTCAATATTTGGGCCAGGAATTCTCAGCATGAGCTCATGGGAAAAAAAAAATCTGACAGTCAAGATGCAGTCTAGTTAAGCCGTTGATATTTCCAGTAGAAGTTTGGAAAAGGACATCCAATGAAAGGGCAAAAAAGACAGTACCTGTAACTACAACGAGACCCTTCTTTGAAAACACCTGTCACTCCATGATGATCATTTACCACAATGTCACTGACATCAATTAAAACATTTTACTGGATCGTAAAGAACCCTGCAAGTACATA